AAGCACCACGCGTAGAAACATATGTTTTTCTCTGGAGATTCGGTCAGGTGGAATTTCCACTGTCATTCGAAAGCATTGAACCCGCGTGGAGTACCATGGAAGTCCAGCTTCTCCAGCTTTCCGTTTTGGCATGGCTGGCGTTACTACTATGAAGCCTTAACTAATGGAACCAAAACAGCAGAAAAGAAAAGCGATCGCTCATGCATACCGAATAAGTGACTGAGTACTGCTTGCTGCTCGCTCCTCTTTTTCTCGAACTCTGATCTGCTGCACGTTTTAGTCGGTGTCATGAATCCAACAAAGATGTCGTCCCTGTCGCTGGTGATGTTCTTCGGAACTTTGTGATAGCGATGTGTGGGAGCAGTACATGATGGCTAGCTCGGGGTTGCTGCGATGTTCTACCTCGCATTGTTGACAATTGCATGTGCAGTTGACGCCACCGAACATGTACCGTGACTCTCGTGCGACTTTCCTGATGACAAACTCCGCGAGCTCTAACAATTGCACCATGCTGAGTTGATTGACGATGTTGTACAGGGTCTCGAGCTGCGAAGGTCCTGCTTGGCGTGGTCCTTCCTCTATGCGTTCCCCATCCCATGTGCGTCTCCCCCGGCGCATTTTTCGAGGTAGCGGCTGGTGGGTCAAAAAAACTCTTGCTTGAGACAAGTGGCTTACTACGTACATGGAACCGACACAACAGGTAAAAGATTGTCAAGGTGCAGTGTAACCCTGACGCCTTATTTGTACCATCACAAAACGCAAACTTTTCTTGCTCGCTCGGTCTAGCTGCATGCGTTCGCTTCTTTAGTCCGTGTGGAACCAACAAAGATGCCGTCCATGCCAGATGTGGTTTTCTTCCGAACTTCGCGAGTATGATGTGTGGACACATGTTTGGACGACGTAGTTGGGGTTGCAATAACTGGCGGCTTCGCATTGTTGGCATGGAATGCAGCACCGAACTCCACCAAACATGAATCTGGTTGCGTTCCTCAATCTGCGCGCCACATACTCTGCCAGCTCCAGCAGCTGCGAAATGCTGAGCTGGTTGACCACCTGGTACATGTTGTTGAGCTGGGCTGTCGGCACATCTGCACGGTGCTCGGCTTCGTCCGAATAGCGCGCATCGCGGTCACGGAGCATTGCAGCTGTCACTGATCAAGTAGTGATAGCTGGAGGGCTTTACAAGCTTGAGACACGGCAATCCAAAACATTTAATGCGCAATCCTAAACGTTTAAGAGCCAAGGGACAACCTAAAATCGCAAAGTGTTGTGGAGACTTCTCTGTTTTTTGCAGTCTCGTCCTGCTTCTGGCACCGAATTTTGTCCACAGCGTTGTGCTGAATCAAATTATGTGAGGTTGAAGCCAAGCATGCGAAGGTAGCGTTTGTCTTCTCTGCAAATGTCCTCGATGCGGTTGGTGGTGTAGGCCGAGATGATCAGGCGGTCGGATTTCCATGGGCATGTGCCATGGAGCTTGAATGGACTGAACTCAATTCCGGGCAGTTTGACTTCAAGGTTGCGACCGTGATGTTGTCCATTTGGGGATAAGTCAGGTCCGTCGTCTTCTTCAACCCATAGGTGTCCTTGTCTGAAAGTCGAGACCGGAATGACGATGTTGAGGCTTCCTGGCTTGTTGTACTTGTCCCGGTGCGTGCGCATGTGCACATTGCGAAGTAAGGATACAGTCGAGAATGGAGTGTGGGTGCATGCTCGTACCAGGTATGCCATCAACGCTGCCGTCCACGGTCTTTGTCTCGTGTTTGTGCGTACTCCAGTGCTGCCGGCGTGGTAGTAGGCGCCGACTGTGTATGACGTTGTTCTTCTGCCTGCTTTTGTGAGTGCCGAAGCTCGGAGGAATTCGGAGTTGAGCTGGGTGGATAGCCTTGGGAAGAGCTCGAAGGGAATGTATCTTTGTTGGAGGAGTAGTTCGCACTCTTGCTCTACTGGATCATCTTTTGCTGTTGAACCTTCGGGGGCACTCATGTCCAGCGGTAATCCATGTGGTAGTCTGACGACGTATTCTGCGTCCTCGGAATCGGTGTCGATGTCGGTGAGCTCTGCGGCGCTTGCAGCTCCATTGATGCGTTGCTTTTTAGTCATATTAACCCGAAATCCTACCAACGCAAGGCTTGAACCAAAAAACTGAAGAAAAGTGTTACAAAACTGAAAGAGCTGAAAGAAACGTGGCTGAGGGGCTAAGGCATCAGACCTACTAATACCTGCATGTCTCTGGGCTCTGTTGAATTTTCCAGAAGGCGCGCATATCCCAGGTCACCGTAGAGGTCGTCCAGTTCTTGGAGTTGTCTCTTGGCTACATCTTCCGGGTAGGCAATGGTGCGGATGAGATGCTTTCTGCTGTGATACCCGCTGAGGCGTAGCTTTGTAGTTCCGGCTGACTGGGGGAGTCTGTATCTCCAAGGCTCTCGGTGGAGATTGTACGTGATTTTGCGATTGTCCGCGCGAATGTGAAATCCCAGAAAATCGTCACACGCTTCGTCTTCAAGTTGTACTGGCTTCTTGTAGAAGTGCAGAGATGCAAGCTGCTGGATGAAGGGGTTGCGCTGAAGCTCGTCTTCATCGACTATGATGGCTCTGTTGTCAACGTACCTGCGGATCCAGAACTTGTCGTGGAGATGGGCGCTGCTGACAAATTGGCCATACATCCGTAGCCATGTGATTTCTGTGGCCACGATTGCGCACGTGGAGAGGATGGGGCTGATTTGGTTTCCCATCGAAGTGCCACATGTCTGCTGGAAGACCTCCCCAATGGCTGCGAAAGCGCAAGCGTCGAAGCTGAACTGGATGATGGCGGGTATGTGTTCTGCCTGCACCTTGACCATGTTGGACTTCAGGCTGTGTGTTGATCGGCCTGAATGCGCTGGTGCGATCTTGTTGTGCGGATCGACGGTGATGGTGGAGTTGTGCTCGTCAAGGAACTGGGATGTGAGGAAGTGGATGCTTTGTAGGATGTCGGATTGTGGTATCGAATTAAAGAAGCCGACCAGATCGTGGTTGAGAAATTTCAAGTGCCTCTCCGGGTACAGGTGCTCGTTGTTGTGGAAGAGTTGGTGTATTTCCTCCCATAGTTGTGGCGAGCTGACGTCACCAAAATGGTTAGGCCAGGTTATCCTCAACATCTGTTGTAATGCTAGCGCCGCGATCTTCAGCAGTTTGCCGATGCACGTGTTGCTATACGCGATAATAGTCCTCCCTTTAGCCCACCGCTTTTTCCGTTTCATGAGGATATATCCATACGGAAGGGGCTTTTCGTAGGCGAGGAGCTTGGCATAGTGCTTGGCGACGATCTTGGGGGTGTTGTTTTGCATGGCTTGCTTGATCTCGTCAGGGTCGGCGTCTAACATTCTGAATGTTTGTTTGTCCATCCAAGTGTTGTAGGCTGCTTGGTTGTAGATGTTCGGGCAGTAGATCATGAGGTGCGCGTTGGCATGGTCCTCGTTGTGCACAATGTAATCGTCAGGGATCATGCCCAAGATGTTCTTTGCTAATCTGTGCGTGAGTCGTGGCTCTCGTTGAAGCTGTAGTCTGTGCTGTTTCCACTCCTGCTCGAAGAAGTCGTCAAAGTCGTCAAGTATGCATTGATCTCGAGGAAATTGGTGGTGCTTGAGCCATCGCTGGAATTGTTCTTGGTGCTGCTTCTTGATGCGCTTCTTGGAGGAGTAGAAGGCGTTCCCGGCCCCAATGTTGTGAAAAATCTGGCTTGTGCTGTGAAGTTGTAGGGTTTCCAAGCCCGTGACCACATGTCCTTCATGTACTTGTGCTCGCGGATGTTGCTTGATGAATTGGGCGCACTGACATTCTGTACGCTTCCAGTGTCTGCCCATATCGGTGACTTTCCGCTTGTGGTTCCAAAGAGCTCGCTCGAGAGAGGGGTGCGTTGCCTCCTGGACCGTCTTGGTTGGTAGATGGTATGGTATAAGCACATGTCTGTGTGTCCTGCTGAGTCGTACCAGGTACTTTTCGAGGTTGGTGCGGTGCGACGCATGTGCAAGTAGAGGAACTTTCAAGGGCTTGTTGTGCTTTGGGATCGATGCGTTCTTGAACTGCAGGACTTTGCGTAATCTGGCTCGTGCTTTTGATCTCCATGGTTGCTCCATGTGGTTGGCGAGTCTGTAGAGCAGGGTAACTGTTTCTGAGTCATGCTTGCCGCTGCGTAGCTCCTTGGAGGCCTCAAATTCTTGCTTGGTGTCGCTGGATATGGAGTACAAAAGCTTCCAGAATTGCGCCTGCTTGGGTAGCGCATTGACAAGCGAGGGTCTCTGTCCTTGTACTCTTCGTCGGAGTTTTTTGAAAAGTTGTCGTCCCAGAGAATCTGGTGGGTGGCGAAGATGTGGTTGTTGGTGTTTGGGGACCAAACCATGCGCCTTCTTGACCAGCTCCTTCGTGACATACGGGTAGTTCAGCTTGGGCTGCCATCTCTGAATCAGGCTGTGTTCTTCGGCCCAGGCGTCAATATACTCCGAGTGCTGCGAAAGGAGGATGGTGCTGTAGTGCTGGTAGGTCTGGGAATCGTTCCAATATCGAATGGCAATCTCGGTTTTGGGAAGTTTGAGTTGTTGTAGTTGACGAAGTTTTGCGACTCTATTGTACTCTCTCTTGGCCACCGTGATGTTGGTGGATCCGATGTAGCAAAAGGATGCGTCTCTGGTAGCAGTCGCATAGGTTTGCTTGTTGAGCCTGGGGAATACAAGTTTGACGTACACTGCACAGGGCTGGGAGAATTTCTCGAACGTGTAGAGTTCTGGAACCGCACCTTTTTCTCGGAGTCGCTCTTTTAGTTGCTCTGCTGCAGGCGATTGCCGCATTCTATGAAAGGTGAATACGAGATGAATAAGTCCAACTAACCACATCAAAACTTCTTTATTAATAGCAGGAACATGAAAAAGCAAAAACTGCCCCCAATCTACTATCTGCTGTAGCTGCTGGAAGATGTTGGCACTTTCTTGATGTGCTAGGGGTCCTCTCAGGATTTTCTGCACGTGTCACACGGCGAGGTAGGTGACGGCGGCGATCAGCTGCTGAAGGTTCTTGGGCGAAGCCTTTGGCGCTGTAGTGAGGGACATGGGAAGTCCCCATCGCGTAGCCATCTCCTGTAGCTCGGCCTTGGTGTATTTGGCGCCTTCGAGGATGGTCTGCACGGACTGTATGTGATTATCCACTTCCGCATGCTTTTCTCGGGGGAGGCTCTTCTTGAGGTTGGTGACCCAAGTTGCAATTGATGTCATACTTGTCGGAGGCTCTTGTCCACTGGCACGGATCACGTTGTGGGGCTCGGCGAGGATATCCTCGTTGCGCTGCTTGATGGCTCCCTTTGTGAGGCGTCTGCGCTTTGGTGGTGCCGCCGTTGCTTCTGGGCCGTCAATTGGCTCATTTTGCAGTGGGAGGGACTTCTGGGGGGTGACGTCGATGCCTGCACTGCGTAGGCGCTGTTTGTACTTGGCGGTCTGCTCCTCCAAGGCTTGCATGCGCTGAGCAGCTTGGTTGTCGCCGACATCGGCAACCACGGCACGTGTACCACTCCCGAGTCAGTTTTCAGAGGACCCGGACCACTATGATACGAACCTTGTATTCAAAGCAACCTTGAAGAGGACAATAGAGCCAACAGCTTGGAGCCGTGCCAAAGGACTTGCAGGCATGGACGTCCGCGATGTCACCGTTGCACATCTTTGCAGACATGGCATGGAGGAATTTGGACTTCGAGGACTTTCCCACGGCAAGTTCACCGGCATGATTTTGACCCGCAACATCGCCGAGAGCGTCCTCCTCTCCCAGCTCCAGAAGAAGCTCCGCGAGAACAACATCGACGTGGATGCCACCATCGACGCCATCCACCAAAGCAAAGGACAAAAAGCCCCTGACAAGGTGAAGGAGGCTATCACCTTTGTTGCGCCCCTCGTCGACACCATCATGGATGCCATCAAACCTTGGGCACAGGTACGCAACTATGGCACCAAGAACACCGAGGTGTGCTTGTTGTATTTGCTGGCTCCGGTTGTGTATTGCACGGTGGCGGCGGCGGCGGCAAAGGTTGTGTAGACGGGCTAGAGGCGGGCGGAGGCATAGGTGGCCACGACGGTAAGGTTGTTGGCGCTGGCAAAGGTGCCGGAGTCGGTGTGCTCGACGCGCTCCCGCTGCCCGACGCCCACCACGGCATATTCGATGTTCCCTGAGACCAATACCCAGTCCATGCATTCGCCATTGCGTATGAAGGTATCTAGCAATTGGGGGGCACCGTCTGAACACTCAAGGCAAAAGAAATTTAAGGCAAAAGAAATTTAGGGCACAACAACAAACCAAAAACCTTGCAGCGACATAAGAGGCATGGAAAGCATGTGTGTCTTTTGCTGCGAAGAATGCGGTTTGCGGCGTCGCAGTCGTTGCCAGCACTAAGCCAGTGGAAGATTTGCAGTACTTTGCCGAAGGGGATGTCCAGGAAGAGCTTTCGTGGTGCTGCCGTGGATGCTCTGTTAGATGAGCGAAAGTCTGGCTCTTCCTTGGGGAGCTATGCCTGCAGCTTTCTGGTACTGCGAGATGAGAGTGTTAGCTGTTGAAGGCGGCGTCATCAGCTGCTCGAACGCAATGCATGTAAAGCAATATCTGTTGCGAGATACGCAGTAAGCTTTTGCCTTCGCATCCTTGAGCACCTCGTCCTCTTCAGTGGCTGCCCGAGCTGTTTCATAGGATCCGCCAAGATGCTTGCGTAGGGATCCCCATGCACGGCCTCCCACGACGATGCCTGCCAGGTTCTTGGCGCTTCGGGTGGTGTTGAAGATCACCCTGGTCAGGTTGTGCTCGTCGATGTCAGATCCGGACATCTCGTGGCCAAGCGCATAGAAGATGTTGCATCCAAAAGCTGCCACTCCATGCGCGTTCATCGGACGCATATTTCGCTCTGTCAACATATTGAATAAAGCTCCCACATCTGTTGCATGCGACCAAAACAGGATCTTTTCTTGCCGAGTTGGTAGAGGAGGGTCTTGCAGAGTGAGATCTGAAGATTGCAAGAAATAGAATCTCCTCATTGTCTCTGGAGTTGGGTCGCCTCCTCTGTCCCACGTGAGGTCATGCTCCAAGAGAACTCCATGGTTGATCCTGAACTCCGCTGCAGCGCAAAGTGCATCCACGTACTGCTTGGTGGAGTCGTGTATGGGAAACTGTGGAATCTCAATGTCCTTCCAATTGACTCTGAATTGCTTGAGGTTCTTGTGGAATGTAATGGTTGAAGGCATCCGCGGAGTTTCATACAGCTTGGGGTCGATCTTGGGTCGCTGCGACTGTGTCCTTGGTGCTGTGGAAGTGCCTGTGTTGCTGAGGCCCGATGCCCTGGATCTCTGAATTGTCCTGGGGGAGTGAGATCTGGATGTTGTCCTGGGAGCACGAGATCTGGATGTTGTCCTGGGAGCGCGAGATCTGGATCTTGTCTTGGGAGTGTGCGATCTGGATCTTAATACCGCCCGCGGTCTGGTGGTCCTTGAGTCGGTGGGGCTCCTTCGTGAGGGATTGCGTCTTGGGGATCTGGAGTCCATGGTTCTCTTTCTCACCAGCAGGGGTCTGGCGGGTCTTGCACTTGCCGTTGTTTGTAGTGGTACTGGTGGTAGCGCGGGCAATCCCGACGAAGATGAAGGTCTCGGCGTAGGCGGAGCTTCTCCTGCTCCAAGTTGGTCGCTTCGTTGAAAGTAGGGACGGGGGGACATAGTGCGTCCCTCGTGCTTGCGGAACGCCGAGAATGGCTGAGCTTTTCGCTTTGCCTTTGCACCAGATCCAACTGCACTCTGCTCGGTATCCTCGGCTGTGGAGTCTTGCGTTGTTCCGTGTGGGTTCGCCGCCTGTAATGCCTGGAGCTCCTCTTGACTGAATAATAAGCTCGGGGATCTCCTTGTGGCAGCCGTCGTGGTGCGGGCTTCTTTGCGAATTTTTTTCAATGGCGGTCTCCCTTGATCCGAAGTATACGCTGCAGTTGGAGATGCCGCTGTCGTTGAGGATGCTGCTCCTCCACTCAGTGCTGCAAACGCCTGCAGCAAGTCTTCGGGCTGCGCATTCTTGATCTGTATGTTAATCTCCATGGCAGTGGGACGCAGCTGCTAAGGACTACTTATTGGAAACAAAAATCTACCACGACCTAGAAGAAAACAAAAAGACTGCTTAAAGACAAGGGTCATGCACTGGCGACTTTACAAGAAAATTAAGCTTAACCTAATCAAGGTCATGCATGCATGTCACTTCAAGCGGACTTCAAGACAATTGGATTTCAAGCTGATTGCGCTGGTCCTCTTGATCAGCATGTGCTTTCCGGATTCAAGACATTTGCTTTCCAGTCTGTTGATGTTTGGGGTCTCTTAGGAACCTAGCCAAGGATCACGCGTCCCACTCGGGGCACTGTTTCAAGGGATACTGCCTCGAGAGCAGCGGTAATGGCGCCGTGACGGATAAGGCCATGCCCAATTCACACTTGAACACCCAGTCTTGCTGGTGGCATGTTCACTCGTGGTCAATTCCGACTCATCAGTGAGTTCAATGACTCCGATGAGAAACTTCAAAGAAAACTTTGCCGGTGGGGCTTCAATAGGCTCTGGTTACCTTGCTGATGTTTTACTAAAGAAGAAAAAGCCAAGGATCCTGAAGCATTGCACAGCGAATATGTCAAAGATGAAGCATTGCACAGCTTATATGGCAAATGATGTCACAAACACTCTGGCAGGTACGTGGATTGAGCGTCCTCAATCCATTTCACGACAAACTGGAAAGGTCTTCGTTGGACAGTGCCTTCCAGAATGTCCACTGTCCCCCTGCACGATCACTTCTCTTAGTCACAACCTGCAATTCTCACTTGCACTGTCCCGTGGTAGGTTGGGTTCCCCACACACACACACACAAGCCTTGCCATGCTCTGCGGATCTCGTGGCCTTTCTAACCACGGTTATTCAGAACGCTGGGGGCATGATGTGGCAAACTAGACCATGTTTCTGCTGTTGCATGTAATTGCCGAACCCTGGATTTCTGCCAGACAGGGAAGCAGACTTCTCCCTCACTGCATCTTAGTCAGCGAATCAGTCAACCCTGGCATTGAAGAGGCTGGCTCCAAGCCGACCGCGAGGAGCAGTGAGCATAGACTACAGAGCAATCCGTGGTTCGGCCATCTGCACATGAGCTGAGAAGTGCACCCAAAGGTTCAGCGCTGCAGGATGTAGGCAAATCCTGCGCAGTATGCAAGCCACACGGGTGCGTGGAGGTGAATCTTGCACAGAGCAGGTGAACGGGTGAGTGGCGGTTTAGGCTACAAGTACTGAATGAAGGTATACGAGTCGAAGGGTTAAAAATGACCCGAATCCTAAACACTTTCTGGAATTGAAAACCATTCCCCAAAAAACAATTCTACAAAGACCTGAAACCCTGCAATATCCTTAAGTCTGAAATTGAAATCCTTACACGCTCATGCAGCATTCTCCTTCGCACAGCGCGAACGTGGCCTTTTGGTTGCCTTGGGACAAACATATTAACATTCATCTACATGTGCATGTGCTTTTGCATATTGAGAGACAACTTCAAACACATGGCCGGCAGTTTCAACTGAGTCACACCTTGTTTGGGGCTTTGGGATGCCCCCATTCCACACGTACAAACCCATTTATGAGGCTTTCCCTGCCTGCTGGGTTATGGGTTCAGAGCTTTTCTTGGGGGGGGTTCAGGGTTTAGGACTTTGGGTTTAAGGATTATCGTCTTTATTGGTTGAAGGATTTGGGTTTCAGGGCTCTGACACTACAGAAGCTCAAGCTTTCGGGTTCAAAGGCTTTGGATCTCGGCGTTTCGGGTTCAGGCTTAAGGCGTCGTGCATTGAAATTCTGCGTGTTAGGCGACAACGGCTCGAGGCCATTACGCGAAACCCGACCCCCAAAAAAAAATATCTCCTGGCACCAAGGACGTCTGGCTTCGATCTCCACGATTTCAGCATTTACGGTATAGCTCTGTCCATACAGTCTACAAATCGTTGTCCCGCAAACCCTGCTGCACTTGCTTTGCCATTCTGTGGTGAGTGGTTGACGAAGGTTCGGCAACATCGCTGTCCCTCAAGCATACCATGAGATCCATGGAGTCATTGAGTTTACTTCAAGATGCACATCATACTATCATACTGGGCGAGCACCAACTTTCTGCTTTGGAACGTGGTGCTCGACAAGGCACTGGGCAAAACCGGACCCACAACAATAAAGGGGCCTCCTTCTGTCTGGCTGCCTCCTCAGCATCCTTTTTGTACGCTCTTCGCTTGAAGCTTCTCCTTGGAGATTTGGGACATTTCCGAGCTTTGTCCTGTTCGCATTGTTTGAACAGTCGTGATACAAGGGTGGCGGCTCCCAACCCCCAAGAATTTCTAAACCTGAGAGAAGAATTCCGGAAGGCAATTACCACCACCACCACCACCACCACCACCACCACCACCACTACGACTACTACGACTACTACGACTCCTACCACACTACTACACAACTACACTGCTACGACTACGACAACGACTACGACTATGACATCGACTACAACTACGACTGCTACAACTGCAACTACTGCTACTACTACTACTACTCCTACTACGACTACTACTACTACTACTACTAATAATAATAATAATAATACTACTACTACTGGCTCATGCGGTATACATTTCGCAAGATCTACTTTCATTCCTACATCCCTAGCTTGACCCATTCTCCAGGGTTCCCGTGACAGTGTCGACGAACCCCAAGTAAACCTTCTCTCGCTTGAAACTCAGGAGCCTAAATCCGCAAAGCCGAACTCTTTCGAGCAGCTTGAGGCCTCTAAAAGAGTTTCATGAAGGTACGAAGTAGAATGCTTCTATGAGGATTGTGGTTTAAGGCTTGTAGAAACACCAATGCCTGAACACATACACTAAAAGCCCCAAGACCCTGGACCCTGCACCCTGAACCCTGCGTCTCCACCCTGGACCCTAAACCCCTGAACCCTAACCCCAAACCTTAGATGGCCTGAGTCATTGTCGCTCTCCGCCTGCACGCACGGATTTCAAGCAGAGGCATCAACCCATGCGCATGCCTTAGCTCAGCATGTAATAAATCATGAAGCATGCACACCGAGCCTGCCACATGCAATGAGTATTTATTCTGTTTGGAAAAGTCCTCGTTGTAACACTTGATATATGGATTGCTTGCATTCCGATTTAAACTTGAAGTATGCTGCGGGCGAAGGTTGCCAGAGACAATCCTACTGGATGCACTCTTCTATCTGAGACCGCATGATTAAAGTCGGTTCCCTACTCAGCCTGGCCTCGAGCGGCGAGAAGCGGTTCGTGTTCATGGCCTTAGCCGAGCACTGTTGATACGAAGGATGTCAAATGAATCCGTGTTGCGGAAGCCCTGCCAATTCCTTTTGACAGACTGTGGCAGTGAAGACTTTACAGCACTTCATGTCTCAAGGTTCGGCCTGACCCCTCACCCCTTGTTTCGGAAAGTTGTTCCGCTTGTCAGACGAACGTCAGCACCTGAGGAGGAACACCAAGCTGTTTCGCACGTCCTTCAAGGTACTGGATCCCTGCCAGGCACGCAACTGCGGCTTCACTTCTTCATAAGTCTGGCCGGGATCGTCATCAACACACCAGAGGAGCATCAGGTCCTCGATCACCCACTTCTGGCTTTCTTTGAAATACTCCGTAGCTGAAGCTGCACGGGGCTTTTTGAATGATTGAATGCGACACTCAAGACGATGCAGGCCTGTGACCAGCAAGGATACCCATTCCTGCCGCTGAGGCTTGGTCAGCGATCGAACGACAGACTCGAGATGTTGCATGCAGTACAACATCTGTTGCCAGCCCACCCCAAAATTGTCTTTGGTCGACATGATGTGTCGCATCCGACTGAGCACGGCTTCTGCAATCAGCTCGCGCGCACAGGGCAGGCCGCCTTGACCATATTCTAGAATCAAATCGTGGGCCGAAGCAGCCACGTCGTCACTTTGGTCGAGAGAAAGTCTGAATGCGCTCTGGAGGTGCTGGCAGATGATCTTATGCACATCCGCTTGATCAAAGGAATGGGTGGTTCTGGCGTGGGCCAGCACGCGACACCAATCCTGGCCTGAGAAGGAAGACAAGCAAGCTCAGCAAGTTGGTATATGCTGAATGGAACCGCAGGCAGCAGGAAATCCCATTCTACAAAAGGTGTTAAACAGATCCAGATGCATTGAAAGCGCTTTTGTTCTTCGACATCGACGGCTTCGGAGACTGAGATCGTGGTCACACGCCGGTTCTTCACGAATGCAAAATAGGCGACGAGCATGTCGGCCCTGCACGGATCGGGATTTGCACGTCAGTCCCTCAGCCCACCAGTACGTGAGCCAGTCGGCCCTTAGGTCCCGGCGTGTCCAAGCTGCAAGGGCAAAGGTTGGCCACGTGCTGCAACAAGACCTCGCGCGGATTCGGGCTTGAAATCAGGATAAATCAGCTACCGAGACCCCCCCGGCCTTGGGACTCCGGTTCTCCAGGGATGTCTGACGCCAGGCCAAGATGTCAGTCACCTCGGGTCCCAGTGTCGCGGGTCTGTATGTGATACTACGCTTCCATTCAGAGCAAATTGCCAGTAACTGATGTATAGGAGATAAGCCACAGAGAGGTATTGCAACAACACGGACCTCGGCATGCTCAGACCGCCATAGCGTCAATATGCGTCAACAGCGGGGGTTTCACAGCAGCTGTCCCTGTCTGGAGCTCGTTCGCGGCCAAGTTGCAGAGTTTCGAAGGACTTGTGCAGAGGATCCGTGACCGTCGGCAAACTCGACGGAATTCAGGGCACGAGACATGCGTCTGAGACGAATGGAAGCCTGCGCCTTCTCAGCGTCGGATTCCGGTCTGTGTGCACCCATCGAGTCCATTGAGGCTCCCCTCTTCCGCTTCTTTTCTTGCCTCTCCGTGGACTGAAGACACCCGCGTGTGGCAGTGTGGCAAAAGCTCGACATGCGAACCCAGCGTGCGGCCAGAGGGGCATCTCAACCTGACTTGTCCCCTCGTGAACTTCGCCCATTTCGGCCCGGAGCGCTCCAGGCAGATCTTCCTGTCAACCGAGGACATCAAGAGCTGTGCTCCTTTGGCACCTGCATTCTCAGGGCCTCCATCTTGGGCTGCTCATCGTCCTTCATCCCGACCTGGTAACCACAGGGAATGTGCTGGCTCCCATCGACAGCTTACTTAAGCAGAACGCCTCGCGCGCAGAACCGTGGCAAGGGGCAGGGTGTGGAAGTTCCTATCGGGTGAGCCGCTCAGATGCTGAAGGAGTTTCGTCGCTGTGACACTTCGCTTGCTTCCTTCGTAGAGCCGTCGTTTCCTTTCGAGGAAATGACAGACTGTTTCAATCCAGACTTTACATTACTTCATGTCCTCAAGGTTCGGCTGACCCCCCTTTTTCCGGACAATTGTCCTGCTTGTCAGACGAAGGTCAGGATCTGAGGAGGAACACCAAGCTGTTTCGCACGTCTTGGAAGGCTCTGGATCTCTGCCAGGCAAGCAACTGCGGCTTCACTTCGTGGTAAGTCTGCCCGGGATCGTCATCAACACACCAGAGGAGCACCAGGTCCTCCAACACCCTCTTCTGCTTTTCATTGAAATACTCCGCAGCTGAAGCTTTTTTGGCTTGTTCGAATGATTCAAAACGACACTCAACACGATGCAGGCCTGTGACCAGCAAGGATACCCATTCCTGCCGCTGAGGCTTGGTCAGCGATCGAAGGACAGACTCGAGATGTTCCATGCAGCACAACATCTGTGGCCAGCTCACCCAAAACTGTTCTTTCGTCGAAATCATGTGTCGCATCCGACTGAGCATAGCTTCTGCAATCAGCTCTTGCGCGCAGGGCAGGCCACCTGCACCATATTCTGCAATCAGATGGTGGGCCGCATTGAACGCGTCACCACCTGGGTTGATTGTTGAAAGTCTGAATACGCTCTGGAGGTGCTGGCAGATGATCTTGCGCACGTCCTCTTCATCAAAGGAGTGGACTGTTGCGGCACGTGCCAGCGTGCGACACCAATCCTGGCCTGAGATGAAGGACAATCAAGTCGGCATGGGGAGCTGTGGGCAGAAGGACCTCCTATTCTGAGAACGTATTAAGCAGATCAAGAAGCATTGAAAGGACTTTTGCCTGTCGACATCCATGGCTTCGGAGATTGAAGTCGAGCCCGCAGGCCGGTTCATGTGTTCAGAATAGGCGACGAGCAAGTCGGTCCTGCACGGATCAGGGTTTGCCCCCTCAGGCCACCAGTACGTGAGCCAGTCGGCCCTTAGGTCCCGGCGTGTCCAAGCTGCAGGGGCAAAGGTTGGCCACGTGCTGCAACAAGACCTCCCGTGGACTCGCCAGCAGAGATCAGCCACCGAGACACCCCCTGCCTTGGGACTCCGGTTCTCCAGGGATGTCTGACGCCAGGCCAAGATGTCAGTCACCTCGGGTCCCAGTGTCGTGGGTCTGTATGTGATACTACGCCTCCATTCACAGCAAATTGCCAGCAACTGATGTATAGGAGATAAGCCACAGAAAGGTATTGCAACAAGACGGACCTCGGCATGTTCAGACATCGCTACCAACGACGCCATAGCGTCAAAATGCATCAAAAACGCTGGTTTCACGGCAGCTGTCCCTGTTTGGAGCTCGTTGGCGGCCAAGTTGCAGAGTTTCGAAGGACTTGTGCAGAGGATCCATGGTTGCCTCGAGCCAGGATGCTCAAGCATCTGCAATGGAACAAACAGTGAACCTTTGGCATACTCGATGGAATACAGAGCATGAGGCATGCATCTGAAACGAATAGAAGCCTGCGCCTTCTGAGCGTCAGATTCCGGTCCGTGCGCGCCCTTCGAGTCCATTGAGGCTCCCCTCTTCCGCTTCTTTTCTTGCCTCTCCGTGGACCGAAGACACCCACGTGCGGCAATGTGGCAAAAGCTCGACATGCGAACCCAGCGTGCGGCCAGAGGGGCATCTCAATCTGACTTGAGGTCCCCTCGTGAACTTCGCCCATTTCGGCCCGGAGCGCTCCAGGCAGATCTTCCTGTCAACCGAGGACATCAAGAGCTGTGCTCCTTGCTCACGTGCATCCTATGGGCCTCCTTGTTGGGCTGCTCACCATCCTTCATCACGACCTGGTAACCACGTGCTTGGGGGGAGTTCTGGGAAGGTGCTGGCTCCCATCGACAGCTTACTTAAGCAGAACGCCTCGCGCGCAGAACCGTGGCAAGGGGCAGGGTGTGGAAGCTCCTATCGGGTGAGCCGCTCAGATGCTGAAGGAGTTTCGTCGCTGTGACACTTCGCTTGCTTCCTTCGTAGAGCCGTTGTCGCTGTCGAGTTCGCTCGGAGAAGGTGCAGACACCCTTCCTGCTTCTTCTTCTTGAGTCTGCCTTGGCACAGGGAAGGATCCCATGTGTTGCGGGTGGCACGCCCGCCAACATCGTCCCTGGCATTTGCCGAGTGGCTGATCGAGGGGTTGATCGAGGCACTCCGTCGTGTCGCTCTCGACCTCTGCTTCGTCCGGACACCTTGGTCCGTGCAACCACCTCAAGCAATGAATTAACAATGAAGAGCTGCAAGAAGTCAGATGGTGGGACATTTATAGCTGGAGCAACCTCGAAGAAGCTTGCAACTTTCTCCGGCTGTCTATGAAATTATCGCAACAGTCACAACAACTCACCTGGACCAACCATTTTGGTGCATCCTGGCGAGGTTACTGACGCAAGGGGTCAAAACCAGGCGTTAACATTTCGCCGCGGCAGGTTTTTTTTTGGGATATCGGCATATTCTCAAACTCCAGACGCCGTGTAGGTCCAAGACATTGACATGTCTCACGGGGTCCTTGTTTTGCTATGCGCGCGCCATTCATATGCTAGCTTGGCCCCCCTCCTCCAGGCTAGTCATGGTTCCGAGCTCGCGAGCGACACAGCAGCCGAGCAGCTGATGGGAGGTTGTACCGCTCCCGCACTCGGCCTGTGCGTCCAGGCGCCTTGGTCCACGGAACCACCTATAAGCGCGCGCAGGCGCCGGAGCAGCATAAAAAGGCTTCGCTACAGCAACTTGGGGAGAATGACTCGGGCGGAATGGCAACTTGGCTGTGTGAAGACCAAAGAGGGCTCGGGGAGGTTGCAGCTTTTGTCTGGGAGATGGTCACTACATGGCGCAAGGTCGCACACGATGTACCAGCATTATTGCATCTCCTGCCTTCTTGCGCCAGCTGTCCGGTCATCAAAATACACTTATTTTAGAGTAGCCATCCCTGCTGAGCTCAGAAAAGCTCGCAGACAAGTTGCATCAGGGCCCTCTGAACAATTCTCCGGACATGTAGCCTTCAGGGACGGTGGACTCAAAGGATGGAGAAACAAACTCTAGCGAGCTGAGAATCAAACCCGGTGCTGTTGCGCGTTTCCAAACGATCGGGCCTAGCATGTCCTGAGGACCTTCAATCTGTGTCGGAACATGCTTCCACCCTGCCTGAAGCTTTATCGAGGTGTGTTGGGGGGGTGGCCCGCCGCTCTCTTCAAAACTTCCGACGGAAGCAGCACATCCATGGTGCACCCAGCCAGGCCGCGAATCGAACCAACTGCAGCTGAGAAGCTGTTTTTCCAGCTTGTCGGCGTCAGTCCAATCGCGACGAAGCTCCCGGCACCTGAGCACAGTTTGAATGTTTTGCCATGCTGTATTGCTTTAGCAGCGAAAGGAAAGGCCCCAGAATGCTGGAGCTGCAAGAGCACAGCTCCGAAGAATCGGAAAAGAAAGACGCCCGCTTCGAAGCCCATGACCGAGATGGCACTTCACGAAATGCAGCCGAAGTGCGTTTTGCGCAGCATCGGGGCCGTCCGGGCCTCAGCCCGAAGTTCCTCGTACCTCAGCGCCGACGGAAGGTCTTGTCATGCTGTGTCTGCGCGAAAAATGCTGGAACACTGTCTCTTGTCCTTTGCACACAGACTCCAACCGTACTTTCTTTAGTACAGCTCGAGGAGCTCTTGCACGTCCACCACGACGAACGACGTGTTCCACCTCACTCTCTTGCGCGAGATTCCAGGCAGATGCCACATGCAACGGCCTGGGCCCTGTCTTTTCAGCTGAGTCTCTCCTCGCATGTAGTGTACTGGCATTCGCCAGGGGACCCGCTCGCGTCCAGTGTGTTCGGCCAAGGGCCGGGGACATATTGATTCAGTTCAGGCGCAGCAGGCCGCCACTGCACGTCGCATGGCACCGGCGACATGCTGTCAAGTTCGCACAGAACACTTGTTCTGTAAAATTACCTTCCATCTACGACGAAGGACGCAAAGGTGTGGTGTGTGTGTGTGTTGAAGTTAAGGCTGTTAAAGACAGTATGCGTTACCGCTGCAGTAGCTTGAGCGAAGACGAGCACTGTTCTGGGCCAGAGGAACACATCCACCAGAATGCAGGGGCAAGGCAAGTCTTGCAAAGCCTGCACCAGAAATACCAGAATCTCAGAGCCAAGCCTGATGGATTATGTAGGCCTCATGAAGCGCTGCATGCGAGACCGACATTTCCCATCAACCCTCGCACAATTGCGGAAGCTCTGCCAATTCCTTTCGACAGGCTGTGACCGTCAAGGCTTTACAACACTTCATGTCTCAAGGTTCGGCCTGACCCCTCACCCCTTTTTCCACTTGTCAGACGAACGTCAGCACCTGAGGAGGAACACCAAGCTGTTTCGCACGTCCTTCAAGGTACTGGATCCCTGCCAGGCACGCAACTGCGGCTTCACTTCTTCATAAGTCTGGCCGGGATCGTCATCAACACACCAGAGGAGAATCAGGTCCTCGATCACCCACTTCTGGCTTTGATTGAAATACTCCGTAGCTGAAGCTGCACGGGGCTTTTTGAATGATTGAACGAGGCTCTCAAGACGATGCAGGCCTGTGACCAGCAAGGATACCCATTCCTGCCGCTGAGGCTTGGTCAGCGATCGAACGACAGACTCGAGGTGTTGCATGCAGTACAACATCTGTTGCCAGCCCACCCCAAAATAGTCTTTGGTCGACATGATGTGTCGCATCCGACTGAGCATAGCTTCTGCAATCAGCTCGTGCGCAAAGGGCAGGCCGCCTTGACCATATTCTACAATCAAATCGTGGGCCGAAGCAGCCACGTCGTCACTTGGGTCGAGAAAAAGTCTGAATGCGCTGTGGAGGTGCTGGCAGATGATCGTACGCACGTCCGCTGCATCAAAGGAATGGGTAGTTCTGGCGCGGGCCAGCACGCGACACCAATCCTGGCCTGAGATGAAGGAAGACGAGTAAGCAAGCTCAGCAAGTTGGTATATGCTGAATGGAACCGCAGGCAAAAGGACTTCCCATTCTACAATTCGTGTTAAACAGATCCAGAAGCATTGAAAGCGCTTTTGTTCTTCGACATCGATGGCTTCACAGACTGAGATCGTGGTCACACGCCGGTTCTCGCATGCAAAATAGGCGACGAGCGTGTCGGCCCTGCACGGATCGGGATTTGCACGTCAGTCCCTCAGCCCACCAGTACGTGAGCCAGTCGGCCCTTAGGTCCCGGCGTGTCCAGGCTGCAAGGGCAAAGGTTGGCCACGTGCTGCAACAAGACCTCGTGTGGATTCGCCTTGAATATGCATAAATCAGCCACCGAGACACCCCCTGCCTTTGGACTCCGGTTCTCCAGGGATGTCTGACGCCAGGCCAAGATGTCGGTCACCTCGTGTCCCAGTGTCGTGGATCTGTATGTGATACTACGCTTCCTTCACAATAGCCAGCAACTCATATATAGGAGATAAGCCACAGAGAGGTACTGCAACAACACGGATCTCGGCATGCTCCGACAGCGCCACTTGTAACGCCACTGCATCAAAAACACTGGTTTCACAGCAGCTGTCCCTGTTTGGAGCTCGTTGGCGGCCAAGTTGCAGAGTTTCGAAGGACTTGTGCAAAGGATCCGTGGTTGCCTCGAGACCACATATGCTCAAGCATCTGCAATGGAACAAACGGTGAACCTTTGGCATCCTCGACGGAATACAGGGCACGAGACATGCGTCTGAGACGAATGGAGGCCTGCGCCTTCTCAGCATCGGATTCCGGTCCGTGCGCGCCCTTCGAGTCCATTGAGGCTCCCCTTTTCCGCTTCTTTTCTTGCCTCTCCGTGGACCGAAGACGCCCACGCGCGGCAGTGTGGCAAAAGCTCGACATGCGAACCCAGCGTGCGGCCAGAGGGGCATCTCAACCTGACTTGAGGTCCCCTCGTGAACTTCGCCCATTTCGGCCCGGAGCGCTCCAGGCAGATCTTCCTGTCAACCGAGGACATCAACAGCTGTGCTCCTTGCTCACGTGCATCCTATGGGCCTCCTTGTTGGGCTGCTCACCATCCTTCATCTCGACCTGGTAACCACATGCGTCGGGTAAGTTCTTGGAAGGTGCTGGCTCCTATCTACAGCTTACTTAAGCAGAACGCCTCGCGAGCAGAACCGTGGCAAGGGGCAGGGTGTGGAAGCTCCTGTCGGGGGAGCCGCTCAGATGCTGAAGAATTTGCGTCGGTGTGACACTTCGCTTGCTTCCTTCGTAGAGCCGTCGTCGCTGTTCAGAGAAGGTGCAGACACCGTCTGCCTTGGCACAGGGAACGATCCCATGTCTTGGGGGTGGCATGCCCGCCAATATCGTCCCTGTGCCGAGTGGCTGATCCAGGGGTTGATCGAGGCACTCTTTTGAAGCCGTCGACGTGTCGCTCTCGACCTCTGCTTCGTCCGGACACTTTGGTCCGTGCAACCACCTCAAGCAAGGAATTAGCAATCAAGAGCTGCAAGAAGTCAGATGGTAGGACATTTATAGCTGGAGCAACCTCGAAGAAGCTTTCAACTTTCTCCGACTGTCTATGAAATCATCACAACAGTCACAACAACTCACCTGGCCCAACCATTTTCGTGCATCCTGGCGAGGTTACTGACGCAAGGGGTCAAAACCAGGAGTTGTTAACAGTTCGCAGCGGTTCTCAAACTCCAGACGCCCTGTGGATCCAAGACATTGACATGCCTCACGGCGTCCTTGTTGTGCTATGTGCGTGCCATTCACATGCTAGCTCGGCCCTTCTCCTCCAGACTAGTCGTGCTTCCGAGCTCGCGAGCGACACAGCAGCCGAGCAGCTGATCGGAGGTTGTACCGCTCCCGCACTCCGCCTGTGCGTCCAGGCCTTGGTCCAAAGAACCACCTATAAGCGCGCGCAGGCGCCGGAGCAGGACAAAAGGCAGCACTTGGGGAGAATGGCTCGGGCGAAATGGCAACTTGGCTGTGTGAAGGCCAAAGAGGGCTCGGGGAGGTTGCAGCTTTTGTCTGGGAGATGGTCACTACATGGCACAAGGTCGCACACGATGTGCTAGCATTGCATCTCCTGCGTTCTTGCGCCAGCTGTCCGGTCATCAAAATACACTTATTTTGGAGTAGCCATCCCTACTGATCTCAACGAGCTCGCCGACAAGTTGCATCAGGGCCTTCTGAACAAGTCTCCGGACATGTAGCCTGCAGGGACGGAGGACACAAAGGATGGAGAAACAAACTCTAGCGAGCTGAGAATCAAACCCGGTGCTGCGCGTTTCCAAACGATCGGGCCTAGCGTGTCCTGAGGACCTTCAATGTGTGTCGGAACATGCGTCCACCCTGCCTGAAGCTTTATCGAGGTGTGTTGGGGGGGTGGCCCGCCGCTCTCTTGAAAACTTCCGACCGAAGCAGCACATCCATGGTGCACCCAGCCAGGCCGCGAATCGAACCAACTGCAGCTGAGAAGCTGTTTTTCCAGCTTGTCGGCGTCAGTCCAATCGCGACGAAGCTCCCGGCACCTGAGCACAGTTTGAATGTTTTGCCATGCTGTATTGCTTTAGCAGCGAAAGGAAAGGCCCCAGAATGCTGGAGCTGCAAGAGCACAGCTCCGAAGAATCGGAAAAGAAAGACGCCCGCTTCGAAGCCCATGACCGAGATGGCACTTCACGAAATGCAGCCGAAGTGCGTTTTGCGCAGCATCGGGGCCGTCCGGGCCTCAGCCCGAAGTTCCTCGTACCTCAGCGCCGATTGAAGGTCTTGTCATGCTGTGTCTGCGCGAACAATGCTGGAACACTGTCTCGTGTCCTTTGCACACAGACTCCAACCGTACTTTCGTTAGTACAGCTCGAGGAGCTCTTGCACGTCCACCACGACGAACGACGTGTTCCACCTCACTCTCTTGCGCGAGATTCCAGGCAGATGCCACATGCAACGGCCTGGGCCCTGTCTTTTCAGCTGAGTCTCTCCTCGCATGTAGTGTACTGGCATTCGCCAGGGGACCCGCTCGCGTCCAGTGTGTTCGGCCAAGGGCCGGGGACATACGGATTCAATTCAGGCGCAGCAGGCCGCCACTGCACGTTGCATGGCACCGGCGACATGCTGTCAAGTTCACACAGAACACTTGTTCTGTAAAATTACCTTCCATCTACGACGAAGGACGCAAAGGTGTGTTGTGTGTGTTGAAGTCAAGGCTGTTAAAGACAGTATGCGTTACTGCTGCAGTAGCTCGAGCGAAGACGATCACTGTTTTGGGCCAGAGGAACAGATCCACCAGAATCCAAAGGCAAGGAAAGTCTTGCAAAGCCTGCACCAGAATCTCAGAGCCAAGCCGTCGAAAACTTGACAGACCTCATGAAGAGCTGCAAGCGAGCCCAGAGCACCGCTCATTCACAAGAAGTCTGTCATCTGACTGCGCATGGTAAGCTGAGATCCGCGCAACGAACAGGATGCTTTAGGAGTGCTAATAGGTTTGGGCCAGGCAAGCCAAGTTAGACGGGGTACGCGCAATGCCAAACAGCAGTCGCTGCAGAGCAAGCGCTGTAAACAGGATAGGAGCAATGCCACACTGCAACCGAACCGCCGTTCATAAGATAGAAGCGAAATCACAGAGCAACCGCTGACCCGCGATAGAAGCAAGACCACACCGAAAGCGCTGTGAACAGGATAGGGGCAATATGGGGCAATGCAACACATCAACTGCTGTATATAAGATAGAAGCAAAACCACGCAGCAAGTGCTGCAGACAGGATAGCGCCAACAAACACAGCAACCTCTGTCTGTCTGATAGAAGCAACACCGCACAGCAAGGGCTGTAGACAGGATGGGCCATGCCACGCAGCAACCGCTGAACATAAGATAGCAGGACAGGAGCAAAGCCACACAGCAAGCGCGAAACTTTAATACCTCGTCTAAAACTCTCGCGCAGACGTTTTTTGGCAGTGCAGGTGAGCGCCGATGTGAGTATCTCTGCTGCTGCTGTCTTTGGCGGCAACGGCCGATACTCCTAAAAGCAATGCGGCGACGCCGACAAGTCCAACGAACTTCTTCCTAAGTTGGTCACTTCAGTATACCTTGTGCTTCACCCGTTGCTTTCGCCTGCACACTAGCACTGGCACTGACTTGCACATGCTGCACATACACCCCTTGATACAATGCCGATGGGCATCGGCAAAACCGGGACGCCTCGTCAAACGTGTGCAGAGCCCCTGTAATTGACCTGAAGAAGGAACATGCCACATGTCTCAACAGACCAATGTGCGTGACGGCGACGCCTCAACGTCTGCAGGAATTCCATACTCGGCGCCTGGACAAGCGATCATCCGTTCGAAAGAACATACCGCGCTGAATGCATTGATGACCCAGGCGTGTTACGACCCTGGAACCATGTCTCGCGTTCTACACAGAGGCACTTTCATCCTCCCAACCTCACCCAAAGGCTATCGAAAGTCGTGAGTGCCTCGGGCTCCGCCGGCTTTGCCTGGGCATAGCAGAAGCGATGCTCTACTCGAGGCACAGCCACCCCGTGGCATGCGGTGTGCCATCCGGAACACAGTGCTTCTCCCGCCTGCGCCGGGTTGTCGCAGACACCAATGAAGAACTGGTTAAGCAATCGAAGTGAGTACCTTCGGGATTGACACACTGATCGTATCAAAGATCGAGCTGTGGATGCCACTTGCATGCATCCGTTTTTGGAGCGCGTTTGCGCGGCTTGGATGCTCGAGGTCGGAAGCTCTCCTGAGGCCGTGATCCGGAAGCCGTCGGAGTCGTGTAGGTCCATGTTCACTTCGAGGCTGTCACCGGTCCGGTGCATGCCACGACCGCTCTGCTGCCTTGCACATCTGTGCATCATCAGGGCAACGGGTAACCGAAGTTGACGAAGTCCGCGGCATAGTAGGCACCTGTGAGCAAAATACAGCTGATTCTGATTCTAAAAACTCGGCGGAAGCACCCATCGCTGGTATGGCGCAAAGGCACGGATGTATGCAAGCGTCTCGTTGCTGACGTTACCTCTTCTGAATATCCGCTTTCCTCCGCCGTTATCATGCCGCAGTCCTGAGAAGATGCACCCTCTGTCATAACATCCGCCCCGCCTTAAGCCGAATAAATGCAGAGCTTAAGCTAGAGGGTGTCTGAAGATGTCTGAAGAGCCACAACAATCTCACGCGGCCCCAAAATGACATGAGACTGCGGAGTTGTTGTAATTTCCCCGAGTCTCTTTCAAAGGTGATGTTGTACAGACCGAGCCTGCGGAACACGTCCACGCACAACGCAGGTTTGTTGTCGAGACATTGTCGCCCACCCCCGCGTGTAGGTCGAATGTCGAAACTGAGCGACACAAAGCGCAGATCTGCATTCAGATTCTCATAGCGCACGATGTGCTGGGTGACGTTCGGATCCGCATCTAAGTAGTCCTTGCAAACTTCAGGAACCGCTAAATCCATCGTGCGTAACTGCGTTGAACATCTCACTTACACTTTGCCCCTCCTGCCCGTATAGACAGGGCGCTGTCATCGTAATGAAATGGCCACCGGGCGTTCCACCTTGACGCACCTTGCCCTGCCAGAATTCAAGAAGGCTTCTCAAGCGCTTTTTGGGGTCTGGAAGTCCATTGATAGTTATGCTGGCAAATGAGCAAAACAAAAGCAAAAGAAAAGGCACACACCCCTGCAAGGGGGTCTCCCGGCTGCCTGGACAGGAACATGCCGGCCTGAATCCAACGGTTGAAGTCATTCTCGGTGTGGAATCTGGATTGCATGTAGTTCACGCCCTCGAAGCCACAGTGATACCTCAGAGTGTTGCCCTGTCTGGCCGTTCCATGTAACTGGCCCATGCCCTCGCTACTTCGCGCTCTGACCTGAACCCCTGTGTCGTAAACAATGTTCGGCAGGCTGTGCTATGTGCGAGTACATTGTGTGTGTGTGTGTGTATATATATATATATATATACGTACGAATGTATGTGTGCACGCACGCTTGTACACATGTGTTTGTGTATGTGTATGCGTGAGTGTATGTACAAGCATAGTATCAGCATTTGTATCAATATCAGTGCGAGTATGAGTCTGGTATGGTTGCGTATATGAAATGCAGATGTATATGTCATAATGAACATGTATATTATGTATGTGTGAATGAATATATATGTATGTATGATGTGTATGTGCACGATGCAGGCGTGCGCCTGTTCCCACAGTGCATGTTTGCAGGTATACACAGATATGTAGATACTGTACCGTAGGCTGGACAGTTCGGCACATAGCTACACACAACAAGACAGACTGAAAAACGCATGGGTGACGTCTCTTGTCGGGCCTCATTTGCGGCTAAGCATCTCTGAGACGAAGCGGTCCACGGGATTTCGGCTCACCAAAAACCTCGAGGACTTGGTCCAAGATGCGGGCACATGCCCTAAACTTGTACACGCAGCTATCAGAGTCCAGGTGCCAATCATACTTTTCACGCTTTGTCGCCGGGAAGAACCTGGACATAAGATTTTCATACGAGCTCTTTGCAACGAATAAGGCTACAAGGTCGCCGCTTGAGTGGGCCTGGTACTGCTGAAAACCAGATCTGCATAAAGCTTGCAAGATGGCACTGGAAGCAGGGAGTCATCCAAAACTTCCCGACTCCTCATATTGCTTTCATGTCATATTAGCCAAGAAAGATCCGACAAGGCACCGGAACGCCCCATGCTGGTAGCCGTACTCTTCACGATCCCAAGCGCCCCAGCGCAACTGCTGGACACCTCAGGGCCCGGCTGGCAGCGAGCCACCCCTCTCTGAACGCGCCTAGACGTGCAGAAGGAACCGCACCTGTTTTGCTGATGTGGATAAACCTCAGAGTTCAACGAAACTCTTCGGGTCAAGCAAAGCCTGTGGATACTTGCTTCAATGCCGAGAGGCTTGAGCCCAGGGTGTCGCACGCGCAGTGCAGATCCGGAGACGGGATTGGGTCCTCACTTGCGAACACAGGCTGACTGCTGCAAGACGACCAGAATCAGACCAACGCTGCCTCGTTGTCCTTGGTGCCTGCTTTCACTTTCGCAGTAGTCAGCACTGGTGTGCTTGTCGTGGTTGGCGGTTCTGCTTCCGATTCTGGCCTGGCGCTGCGCAATGGACGATGCTCTTAGCGAACTGTCCCAGCCTCCCAGCACCCTTCTTGTCTCGCCTGAACTCCGAGCCATGTTCGGACACGTCGCTGGCCCGAAGGGCCTGCACGTGCACGGAGCCACGTGACCTGTAAACTGTGCAACTGCTCTCGCTGCAGCCTGGGTGGTTGAGGTCTCGAAGGGCTCCACGCTTCCTTCTCCTTCCCGGCGCGAGACGCGGGCAGCATCGAAGCAAACAACCTCAGCTGCGATTGCAAGCTGCCCGACGACCCCCAGGGGCTTGCAGCCGCATCGCACGCCAGGAAACAGTCAAGACCCCCAGGAAGTAGGCAGGCACGCCCCTGATGCAGCAGAATCGTCGCTTTGGGTCGGACAGGCTGCAGTGACCGAGGCAAGGGTGGGGAATACACGGAACATGCATCGAGTCGTGTGACAGACCGTGGCTGCATGCCGGTCACATCCAAGGCACAAGAGCGAAGATCGAAGACAGGAACTGCCCTTCCCTTGGGCCATGTGCACTGAAGCGGAGTCATCACTTAGACTTCTGGACTTCTTAGTCTACTTTTGCAATTGGCATCAACATGTTGGAGTCTCATATCGAACACCGATGTAGCGGAGCACTGGTGTGGGAAAAAACTTCGTCTGTTTTGTACTGTGGCTGGGGCCTTGAGCAAAAAAATTGAGGAACGCGCTATGAAAAAAGCTGCAATCACCCAAGCTGCTGCTGCCAAGCTCAGGCAACTCGAAGGAGCAGTGGGCTAACGACGTGGCCCACCTCAACCCCTCGCCATGCGTCCTCTCGAACAGGGAGGTGGCATCCTGCGGTACAACGTTTGCCGCTTGGCATCGTGCCTTGTTTGACAAACTCTCGCCGATTCGACACACAACCCAGCCCCGAAAACAGCACTGCATGCGTACGCATGAGAGCATGGATGCGGTGACCTGGCACAAGCTCTAGATTCACTAGATGTCAGAAGGCGATATCTTCACTCCCTATTCCCGGCCTGCGCTGCAGCATCGACGACTAGCTGACCACCGCCGGGATGCAGCGAAAGGAAGGATGTCACATCGTAGACCTTCCGCTCGTTGAGTCTGCCCGCTCTTGCTCCCACAATCTCCCAAGTCCTTCCCATCAATGAGCAGCCACAGGTCATCCTTGGAGTTATGCCTCGCCGCACAAAGATCGGCTTCGACGGGTAATCCGCACTAGTGAGGTCCCAGCGTTTCCACCTCTGACCAAGCGATTCGAGCGACGTTCTTCGGCCGCAGGCTGTCCATGGTGGACTGGACAGACGATGCTCATCCAGTCAGAGCTGCAACATGCTGCAACCGTGTGACTATGAATCAGCCCACATCAGCCAACATGTCTAGAACCACCTTGCGCCTTGTTATCGCATCACTGCTAAGCGAGGCTGCGATTCCCCCCTTCGGCCTCAACCAGAGACAGCAGCGGCTCGTGGCCGCAAAGAGACGCCGCACGCTGGAGCGTCGATAGCCGCGTGACCTCAAAGCCGAGAGGAGAGAAGTCTCTATGTGCGAAGTCTCCAGGCTCTGGATGCCAGGGTCGCGGCGTCTACACCGGCCGGTCGTCGAAACACCTGGCGATGGAAAGGTGCTTAAGATCCCAAGACACCACATTTCGGAGGCGAGGGAAGCACTGACCCCTCTTGCCTTCGCGCCGAGGTGTCCCCGGGTACGGACACGTGATTTTAGTCCGACAGAAGAATAGATCACCTGTGCGGAGTACAGAGTACAACACTCGCGATTCCACATCGGCCTCGTACATCATGAACACAGCATGCAATTCCAGGTGCCTTCTCTCGGCAGATCTTCTTTGTCCACCGTCCGTACTTGGCATCACGGTTTCGCTCCTGTCACGGAGCGAGCTTCCTGCTAGAAGCGTTGGTACAGGAACTTCTTTCGAGATGGCAGGACAGAACAGAGACCATGCACAAGGATCTGGTTCATCGACTGTCTTCAGCTCTCGTGTCTAGCTCGCCTCCTTGGGAACGTCCTGAACCTCCTCGGTTTCCCGTGGCCGCCGGTCGTACCAATACCTCGAAGAACCAAAGACGGCTGCTCCAGGACTAGGTCGAATCAAGTTGCTAAAGCTGACCCTCCCGCGAGGCTCTGAAGACCCAACAGATTCTCGTTTCCCTTTCCTCTTGCTGAGGTGCGCACGTGAGCTGTGCCAGAGCAGCAACGTCTATCCAAGGCAGCTGCAGCAAAGCCTCCACAAGAGCTGAGGAAGCCCAGGCTCTAAGCGAGGGAAGTGCAACGGAAGTGTGACGGAACTGACCGCGGACCGTGCCTCCTCCTCCTCGGGGACCATGCCCTCGCGCTCCTTGAAGTGGCCCAGAAGCGCCTGACGAAGGCGGCTGTGCGTTGCCGCCGATGGCTCCCTGGGCCGAGCCTCGACCACCTCCGCATCAGACTCGCAGCCGAACTTTTGGCGCAGCTGCTGCCTCCGTCTCGGATTCTGCTTGGTCCCACGAACGTCCCATGATGTCCCATGAATAGCTGCTGCATCATGGAAACCTGGCGTACCGTCTATCTGGATGGAAGCAGTCAACTTTTGCAGGGAGTGGCACGGCGTGAAATGCATCGCATACTCAGCGCCTCGCCTAATTCGCTCGCACTCAAAAGCAAGGCCCACGGGGACCTGTGCCGCGCTGACACAAGTCACAGTTCGTCAGAGCCCCCTCTAGATTCTTCTTCAGCGGCCCTATCTGGCATGAAGCAGGCAGGACAGAAGATCCGCCAAACGATGCCTGAGTCCTTCTTTTGCTCGAACACCACGTCACTACGTGTTTCGACGTTGTCTGCCAATATGTGATGGACATCCAACGCGATTGATTGAATTCGTCGCCGGCAATCAGAACCAATCATTCGTCACGTCGCAACTCGCGGCATCACACGGCCGTGCCATTCGCCCCGTGTGAATTGGACTTGGTTGTCTCGTCGAACTCCCAGCAGCTTTGTTGTGAGATAGGGCCTCGTGCTCGCTCTGTGCTCGCTTCCCTCAAAAAATTGGCGAGCTCACCGCTGTTGGTCGGAGCGATGGTGTTTTCCGTGGATTCCCCCGCACTGACCCTGTCTTTACCAGCCTTGAGCCGAAATTAAAACACACTCTGCCAGTGCTCGCAAAACCGGATCCTCTCAGCACATGTCGTGCTGAGTCAGACATATTCTGATTCTAGGTGCAGTGAATAGGCAGTGACGCCACAGCTTTCGAGCTGCAGTGCGCGCAGGATGAGACCGATTTGCGGGCAGCAACGGCTCGGTATCACGCCTCCACAACATCTAGATCGACATCCTGCCCTGTCGCGCCATGCTCGACCGGAACCTCCAAACACATGCGAACACAGATTGAAGACGGGCGCACCCCGTAACCCCTCCTCGCTATTTCAGCCTCGCATTCCACCACTGGCTCCTTGGCCGGCCCCTTCTTCGTCCACCTGGCTGCTGCCGCTGAAAGGCCCGAATCTCCCAATCTCTTCCTGGGCTCAGGCAGGGCCCCCGCCTCTCGAGCTGCTCGTCGACAAGCCTGCTCATGCGGATCGCCCGCCTGAGCCGCTGGTACCTTGCGCGAGGCTCCCCGGCAGTCCTTGCTGGAGAGAAACACAGGAACACACCAGCTGCTGAACCCTGGACATGCAAACGGCTAACCAGTGCAGAAAGGTTTTCTCTTCACGGGCGCACACCAGCATGGAGAGGCCTCAAAGAGACGTCGGTTCCACAAGCTCGGCAGCGGCTCCTTCCACTTTAAGAGCTTCCTGCCTGCTGCAGCGAGCGCCAGAAAGAGCTTCCGAAGAGCAGATCGCCTGACAGGAAGGACCGAACGCATTGCTCCTCCTCAGAGCCAGAGAAAACTTTGATGGGATCAAGATCATGCCTACAATAAATGTACGATGCTTCGAGCATTCATCAGGGCCGCTGCCATTTCTTGCGCAGCCAGGCCCATGCAGGCACCAAGGGTGAGACGGCAAGCCCTGCGTCTGGCAGTTGTCCAGACATGCCTTCAAACCGAGAAGGCTTGTGGTGGTCGGCTTGATCTGATGGCAGAGGTGCGTGAAAGCTGCTGTTGCTAGCGTGTGAGTGCTAATGTAAAACAGGCGAAACGCCTCTACAGTCAAGCTGATAGCCAAAGGGTAGCGATGCAAAACTTACGCACAAAATCGTATCAGCTGGACAGCAGGGCACAGCTGTCACAACTCTTCTGCATAGATGTTACGGCCACGGGCTCGGCCGCTGCAGAAGTCCCTTTTCTGTCCGTTGCCGTGTTGCAGAGCTTCCTGTCCACCATGAGTCCTGGATATCCAGCGCCATCAATAAAAAAGCGCTTACTATACAGTACTATACTATACTATACTATATTATACTATACTATACTCTATACTATACTACATTATACTACACTATAGTACATTATAATATAACCCTCTTTTTTAGGACCTCTTTGCAGCCTGGAGGCGCTCGGCTCTTGCATGCCGGAGACCAACAAAGAGCTCCGCGGCCTCCTCCAAGGCCTCGCCCCCCCCCCCCCCCCCGGAGAAACCCGGAGCAAAGGGAAGAGCTCCGGGCTCCTCAAAGGGCTCCTTAAGGGGATCTATAAGGGTTCTATAGGAATATATATATGTCTTAAATCAGCACCCAGAGAGCCCAATACCCCTTAACTAAGGAATATGGCTTAAATTATATAGGCTTATATTATGATTTAAGACATGTTCCTTAATTTAGGGGTATTGGGCTCTCTGGGGAGCTCAAAAGGGTAAGCAGCATTAAAATGCAAGAAAGTGTAGTGTAATATAGTATATTCACAAGGAACCTGGGTTCTTGTCAAGGGATTTAAGTTAAGTTACCATCATAGGGATCTAAAGTAAATAATAATATCTGGTTCCTTTGTTAGGGATGTTTAGGGGTTAGGGTCAGTCCTAGCAAAGGCCGTTCAGGGGCGAGGCTAGTTGCACATGCAGATGGGACCAAGGCCTGGACAGCAGCTTTGCTTGGGATGGCGTCAGGCTTCAGATTTCAAAAGATCTAAGTCCAAGAAAGACGTCGCCATCCAATGGCACAATAATTCCAAGTCTCAAGGGCAGAAAGATACTTCGAAAATCAACATACTCAATCTTGTTCTCTAATTACAGTCGTTGGGTGCCTCCTTGCGAGGACTCGGACATCAGAATCAGAAACAGGAAAACAAGGAGGTTTACTGCAAATGTTACGGTGCGGGGGTTCAAATCAAAGGCAGAATGCCAATCTCCATTGTGTCTCGCATACTGGAGATAGTCTTCGGTGCAGTGGTTCTTGCCAAGGCTTCAGACTTCAAGGCTGAAAGCTACCGGTGGGAATCAAAAGGACTCGAAACCCTAAAATTTTTAGCTTGCTGAAACGTGTTCCTCTTGCCTAAGCAACACGAAAACTGCCTCCGAACCCCTATAGGATTCCTTAAGGCAACTCACACATCATGAAGCTCCTCGATTTTGCTGGAAAGGGACGCCCTGGGCAGAACAAGTGCCGGACAACCTCCACACCATCGATAGGGTGGGTCCAAACATCCATTTATTTAAACATCCGTTTAGGGATCTAGGGTTTCGGTTTAGGATTTAGGGAGGGGTCTGTGCGGTGCATGCACATCTTGACAGCCTCGAACACAGTGGCAGGCCCGCTTGCACCGCGTTTGCGGCTTGCCCGGCCACGGCACGTGGCCGGGCGGGCGGCCTGCGCTTGGCTCGGGCTCGCAGGCTTCACCCATAACTCAGCTTCTGCGAGGCCGTGTTTCGTTCGGTACAGATACAAGTAGACCTGGTGTCTCAGTACAACATGGCTCCGGCCCATGTGGGTCCTCAGCAGAGTTTGCGACAAAAACCCTCAAAGCTCGGCTCAGAGATGCCCGTTTCACGGCCTGTGAAGCTGACGGAGGGTCTGAAAGCGGTGGAGGTTCAGGCCTGGATGCAAGGGCACGGAGTTTATGCTTTGGGGTTTGGTTCTACACCTTTCACACTGCATGCTCTCGGAATCAGCATTGAAGAAGTGTGCTTGCATGGGAGTGTTCACGAGCACTTGCAACATCTGAAGAGTGGCTTTAACACTTGTGCTACACAGCTGCTCGTGTCCGACGAGCTTGTGCATCGTGTGATTACTGTGTGTCCACCTGTCCCTCTCAGCTTCCGTGGAACCTCTCCCACAGCAAAGTACAGACCTGACGCTGACCTGCAGCCGACAGCAAACTGACTGTCAAACTTGAACTGGCCAATGGTGCCCATGCATCCGGGAATGCGTGGATGTGCGCTTTTGTGGTTTGATGTACGTACCGTTTGCAGTTGCTGCTTCGGAACTTCGGATTAACTGTTCTGGTAACTACAAGCCAAGAATGTTGGCCGTACAAACAAGATCAAGTAGAAGCAATTGCATCCCCATCCTTGCCTGGACATCCTAACTAGCACCAGGGCATCTGCTCGCGGATTGGCGGCACTGCGGCAGCTTCCGCATCTTTGGCAGCCTCCGCAGATCATTGCTATGCAAGGTGTCTCAAATGGCCGGTTAGTTCGAGCGCAGTAACACCTGTCCATCCCAATGCAATGCATGACGGAAAAACGAGCCAAGAAAGGTCAATTTTCGACAGCTGGAAAGCTTGAGAAGAGCTTTGTTGCTCGTCCGAGTTGGACTTCTGTTGTGATCATCACGGTACCTAGACAGCTTTGCTTTGCGCTGAGAGGAAGAAGCACGACATGCCCGAAACAAGATCTTTTCCACTGCCACAAGACAAAGACGAGATGCAGCCTACGACAGAGCACGGATGCTGCGGGATGAGTTGCCAACTTCAGCGGCTACGGCAAGACAAATGTCGCAGTCAGAGTTAAAACAAGCTTACATGGGTTACTGTTGTCATCTTCACGCTGGCCAAATCGGAAAGACCTGTTCATGTTTCCAGCTGCAGCAACCATTGGACAGAGCTATGGCAGTCAGGGTTAAAAAGCTCAAATTCGGCTCGTCACGCATTGTCCGAATTGGATTTCTGTTTTGATCATCATTGCCAGTATGCATAGCCGTGTTCAAGCGCCCCTCAAAAAGAATCCGGTGGGACAAAGACATGCAAGCGCAATGCAGCCGACGACAGCAGCACGGATGCTGCAGCATGAATTGCCCACTGCCGCGGCAGCAGTACGCAACTATGGCCGTCAGGGTTAAACGGCTCAAACTCGTCAAACGTCTGGACTGGATTTCTGTTGCCTCGTAGGCATTGGCTGCAGGCCGCAATGGCCCGAGTTCAGAGTCTTTTGATGTGTATCAAAGGTCATGCAGAAGACAGGGACATCCAGTATATCCGTCACGTGGTCAACGGAATCTTCTGGACATTTTTGACATACCGGGCAGTGGCAACAACCTGACTGGGCAAACTCGCAAAGTAGCCGAAGCTCCCACACGGCAGAGGCCATCACACGCCCACAACCGTACTGCCCAACGCCTCGCGAACGAGAGGCGCATCTAAGCGATCCGCAACAAGCCTGTCCGACTTCAACAGCTGGACAGCGCGCAAGTAGTAACGAACCCTCAGAGTTGGAAATCCGCTTGCAACCGCTGGGACAAAGCACGATTGCCCGGAACGGTGCTGCAAAGCCAATTCAGCGAATTGGACCGGGACCCATCAAGCCACCATCGGCTCTGACTTCATGACAGAACATCAACCCTGGATCTAAGAAGCACTGCAAGAATCTGCCAACTTGACACACTTTCTGCAGCTTCGTCAGCGAAAGCGCAAGCTGCTGCACTTTTCGGGCACTTTTAACCGCCAATGTTGCCATCATCATTCCTGACAGATGATGATCTGCAACGTGCACGCAGTACAAACCAGAAATCAACCTGGTATGCCTTCACACGTGAAAGTTTGCCATACAGACGACATCTTGGAAGCAGCTAGATTTGACATGCCGCAACCAAGCCAAGCTGCAAACACAAAGATTCTATTGGACGCAGGTGCCGTGCCACGCATGCAGCCGCTGGTAAGGCGCGACGCGACCGGAAACCGCCACTGTCGGGGCCGCGAGGGCCTTTGCAGCTGCTTCCACGAGCTCCTTCGGCACTTCCAAGGGCTGCTCGTCCTCCTCCAAGGGGATTCCAGCTGCTATGAAGGCATGACTGGTCAAAATGTCCCTTTGCAGTCTGTATTTTCTTGTAGTATTTTACTGTAATTGTATATTCACCCGCTTCATTATCTTTATCGTCGCCATCTGTATCTTTGGAACACGAGCCGGCGCACTTCCGGCGTGTTGCCGGCATGCCGCAAAGCCACACCTGATGCAGGGCTTAGCTTAAGGCCTGGGGAAGTTTACCGCTTACATGGATTGGTTGGGCGGACTGATGACTCCGCGACTTGCTGACATGCAGCACAAACTTTAAGTCTAGCAGGATAACCAACAACAGAAGCTGAAAAGACTGGCAAATTAATACATCTTAGCAATAAACAACCAAGCCTCTTTGGCGCAATTCGTCGGCAAGTCTCCTCCGTGCAGTGCAGTTGTGCCAATCCTGCAGCCATCAAGGAAGGGTAGGACATCGCTCTGAGAATCTAGGCGAGATCTTCAGTTGTCACTGACTCCACTGGCCTCACCCTCAAACAACACGCAGGGCAATTTATTCCTGCCTGCGGGCGAAATTTACATGACTCGAGAACAGATGCAACTCCATGATGCAGTACAAACTGCGACTTTCATGTGTTCATGTCAGCCTTTCCTGTTCTTACCAGACTGCTGCACTGCCTGCCTCCGTTCGGGTTTTTTGTCCACGCAGCTTTGGCCAGGCGTACCAAAACTGCGGCACGCTCTGCTGCCTCAGCCCCTGTTGATCCTGGCTGGCAGTCCCACCAAAACTCCCTTAAGAGCGCTCGCCCGCGCCTGTTGCAGCCAGCGCTGGCCGCCACTCCCAGTCAAGGCCCTGTGAAACTGCGAAACGGCGCAACGCCGCAGCGGCACGAGTGGGCCTCGAGAACCGGAAATGCTTGTACATAGCAGGGCTGTGGCTTCCACCAATCTAAAAAACTGCAAGAGTGCTGAAAAAGAGCCGTAATCGCACATCCACTGCTCCACACACTTCACGCCGACGCAGAAAGTCAAAGAGCTGCTCAGCACCTTCGGAATCGAGGATGCACCATCCGCAGACTCTTGCGGGATGAAAAAGCTCACTCACGCACTGCTTGTGCTTCAACCTGATTTGCCGGACAAAGACTCCGAAGACCATAAGTACAACAAAACGAAACAAACCTGCCTGTGTGCGTCGCAACATTCACGCAAAGCACTGCGGCAGCAATGTTGCTCTCGGCTTCATCGTCAATGACAATCACATCATTCCTGAATGATCTCTGCACGACTGCCGCTATCACAAAACCCTGATGGTGCACAGACATGATTGAGCAAACTTGCACTAAAGTTCACTAAAGCATATACGTGTATGTATGTGTATATATATATATAGATATACATATGTTCATTTGTGTGTATACAGTTTCTTTACGTACTTCGATATGCAGTTGATCATTATGTGTTGTTGCTCATGATTGTGCTTGTATTTGTTCGTGTATGTGTACGGCCACCACACTGCTCGACACCGCTAGGCCCGGCACGCTTCCAAGTCGATGACTTCATCCATGCGGCATGTTTTGAGAAATGGACGACATAAGATTCTGCGAGTCATTATGTGGAGGGATACTTGGCTTTGCGAATTGGGAACGAGGTTTGCTTCATGTTGATAAAAGAGCCGAAAGATGGCATCGCACCGAAATTGACAACTTCTCTCAGAATTTTCAAAACTCTCCTAAGAAAATCCTGGAAGCTCCGCCTCATGTATCGCTTATTCTCCACGAAGCTTTGCAATATGCAGATGACTCAATAACACATTGAATCATTCCTCATATTATGCCCCCAATGCTATATGGGCAAATCGCAAAAGTAAAAGGATATCAAATTGTGATCGCACGAGAACTCGGTCTTCTCCTTACGGCAATGCCGAAGGGGAAATCGTGATATCCCATTACCAGGCCGATGGCGAAGTCAAGGATCGCCAACGGCTACCCCATTCAAGAAAGATGGAAACCCTGGGTGGCAATGCCTTCAACGGGACACCGAGGTCTCACACGACTGCATCGGCCTCTAACCGAAAAGCAAGTCTTTCCTCTCGACGGCTGATCCGCTGGATTACTCGGGCTCGGTACGCGACTGAACCAAGGCCACCTGGCCTGACTGTCCAATCCTTCGAAGAGCATTAACAGCTGTCTCCACAAAGGGTCCTTAAAGGAGCCTGTCACCGAGGATGGCAGCACTCCGGAATGATCCACCTAACACGTGAAACGTTGCAAGTCCATGTGATTTGCCCATGCCGCCCTGGCACACAAGACTGCATACATCTCGACCGGGCCTATCAAATACATCTTCCCGAAAGCTTCCCAACCCTGCACAATGCTCAAAGAGATGGCACATGCAAAGTAGAAGGTGCACCAAGTGCCGTTGTCAAAATGATAGGGCTGCTCTTTTTTCCGACCCCGAAATGTCTTTTTCTAGACCCCGCACTTGGTCTGTCTTGTTTTCGACCCCGATATGTTTTTTTTCCGGCCCCCATCTTTTTTCCAACCCCGGAAGGAGGTTTGGAAAAAGAGCTCCATCTTTTTTTCAACCTCCATGCGCGCTTTGGAACAGTCTTTTACCCGGCCCCGAAACATCTCGTAGATGACCCCGGGTCTTTTTTCCAACCCCGTAGGATCTTTTTCTTGGCCTCCACGGTCTTTTTTTGGACCTTCAACAAAAGCATCCTTTCCAACACATACACAGCAGAACACACAGGAAAACTCATTAGAAGGCTTAAAATCAAAAACAAACAACAACGATAAAACCAACAAAAAGTTTTACCGGTATTTGCCAGGCATTTATGTAGGTGAAGCTTTTTGACAAATACTACTTGTGTTGATTGTTTATGTACGGGTTTACGCGCTTAGGACGTAGGTTACAAGGATCTGTGTTTCAATTGTCGTCAAGTTCTGCGTGTAGCATGTCTCGGTTTTCTCAATGTAATGCGCTTTTACTTACAAATGCTGATTATGTTGCATTGCTTTCTCGATGTAGGATTTTACGTGTCTAAGATGTAAGTGACGAATATGTGTCTTTCACATATGTTTGTTTGTAAATTTCGCGCAGTCAAAACAAAAGGACAGGTTGGTCACGCGCAGCACCCCTTTGTGGCATTTCCAAAATGAAATTCTATTCTTTCTTTGTTAAATTGCATAATCATCCTTATTTTTGCGGTTTTACCCTCCTGAAGCGCTTTTGTCTGGCTTTCTCCTTTGTGCGTGCTGAAAGGGACGTTTTTGTTGATTTAAGAGCTGGCACCTTGCAGTCAAACAGAAGCAAAAAAATGCAGCCGTACATTTGCAAACTTTTCCGAAATTAGATGTATCTCATTTATGCTTCTTTCTTGTTTTTTTCACTGTTGGCCCTCTAAAGCGTTTTCGCGTGGCTTCTCTTTTTGTGTGTCAAAAAACAGTTCAATGTACATCTTCGGCATGAAAACACTATAAAAAACGCTTTGGATTGGGCGTGTCTTTTATGCCTGCTATGCGTTTTCGTGTGGCTTTCTCCTTTGTGTGTTGCAAGAACGGTTTTATGGATTTTTTCGTTGAACAAAAATTACGAAAATGCAGCCGTTCCATTTGCCAACTTTGAAGCCTGAGCCTTTTAGAGCGTTTTCGCGTTGGCTTTCGGTGTTAAAGTATTAGTTTTATTGATTTTTTCGGCATCGAGCAATTTTAATAATACCTCGGGTTGCGAGGGCGCAACAGCGTTTCCATTGTAAGCCTTTCCAAAATGAGACAAAATACACCCAGAATTTAAAGACAATTGGAAACACACATCCTCATGACCTACATCCTAAACCCGCCGCATAAAAAATCAACATAAATAGTATTTGTCAAAAAACTTTACCTACACAGATGCCTGGAAAATACTGGTAAAAACTAGACAAATACACCTAGAATTTAAAGATCATTGGAAGCACACAGTCTCATGACCTAAATCCTACATGCGTAAACCCCTACATAAAAAGTCAACAGCAGCAGTATTTGTCAACAAGCTTCACGTACATAAATGCCTGAAATACCGGTAAAACCTGGACAAAATACACCCAGAATCGAAAAACAATTGGAAATACACATCCTCATGACCTACATCCTAAACCTGTAAACCCGTGCATCAAAATCAACATAAATAGTATTTGTCAAAAAACTTTACCTACACACATGCCTGGAAAATACAGGTAAAAACTAGACAAATACACCTAGAATTTAAAGATCATTGGAAGCACACAGTCTCATGACCTACATCCTAAATGCGTAAGCCCCTACATAAAAAATCAACATAAATAGTATTTGTCAAAAAACGTTACCTACACAAATGCCTGTAAAATACGGGTAAACCCTGGACAAAATACACCTAGAATTTAAAGATCATTGGAAACACACAGTCTCATGACCTGCATCCTAATTGCGTAAACCCCTACATAAATACATCAACAGCAGTAATATATGTCAACAAGTTTCACTTACATAAATGCCTGGAAAAATAGTGGTAATGCCTAGACAAAATGCACCCGGAATGCAAAAACAAGTGGAAACACACATCTTCATGACCTACATTCTAAACGCTCAAACTCTACATTAAAAAACAACAAACTAGCATTTGTAAACGAGCCTCACCTTCAGAAACGCCTGAAAAAATGCTGGCAAAACCTAGACAAAATACGCACAAAATCCAGCGACAATGGAAACACACATCCTCGCAACCTGCATCTTAAACTCGTGAAACCCTACATAAAAAATCAACATAAGTAGTACTTGGAAATACACTAACAGTAAAAAACGCCTGAAGATAGCAGTAAATCCTCGACGAAAGACACCTACAATCCAACGACGAGATTTATCATGATACATCGGTTGTCAGAAGTTCGGCTGTGCTACAGCTTCGCACGAATTTTCGAGGCTTGGCTGCTTTTTGAATGATGCCAAGCAATCTAACTGCAAGGTTCCAGGAAGACTTAAGCCGGTGTCTTTGCAACCCAGACTGCTGTCTGCTCCCAGCAACGCGATTGCGGCACCAGTCAATGCAAAAGGAGACTTCGTCTCCGACGGGAAAGACTTCGGATGAATCGACAACCCCACTCAAACCGAGGACCGGTCCCATCTGATCTAGCTGAAAGACAAGCACAAGCAAGAACGCAGTGCCCTGGGAGACTGGAGTAATTTTGTGCACTCAACCCTTGATGCGCTCGTGCTTGCCAACGTCCTCCAGACAGACGACAAAAAACAACAGAGAATAGCTTGTATCCTGTGATGTTGTGTGGAATACGTGGAACTCATGGAAACTGAAGCAAGAGCAAAAGTAGCAATGATGATTGTGGAGCCTCCAGTTTGCGAGGCTTCGGGTGTCCTGCCAACTGCTTAATATGACTACGAGGAAGGTTTGATCACGTTGCCTGGCCAACATGCGCGCAAAGTGTTTCTTCTGTGCAGGGCGCTAGATCGAAATCCTGAGCCGCAGAAGAGGATGCAGAAAAACAGTGCAAGTGCACGTATTGCAACCAAAGAGCAGCAGAAACGATACCCGGAAGAGTGTGTGCAAGCTTCGCAACAAACCATCCAGGAGGAACGTGTTGGCGAATGGAAGCTCTTTCTCCAGAGAGGTGCGTATCGAGAACTTCGGTCCATTTCGCCTGTAGAAGTGAAGGAAGTGGATAAAGCACACAACTGCCGCAGGTGCTCCGACTTTAAAAATGTGAAGCGACAAACAACAACAGAAACCTGCCTTGATCATCTTGATGAGATGCGTCTGCATCTCTACCGTGGAAGCAGTTGTCTGGACGGTTCTGACAGACAGCAAGAGAAGGACAGCTCATGTTGGCAAAACAACTGCCTGGAGAAAGCTTGTAGACGAACATGCCACTCGTGAAGAAGACAGTGCAACGCGGAAGGTCGCGAAGACCGCTTCCACTGCTACAAGCCAGTCCTGCGGGGCAGATTTCCGACAGTCAGGTAAACGAAGCGAGTGCCAAGCTTCTCTTTGTTGATGCCTTGCGAGCTGCCTGAATGAAGCACATGACAGCGACAGGTGCTAAGAGCAGACGTGTTTCTTGCTAAGGCTGCAGCTGGAGGACGTCGGTACTGACATGTTGGCATGCTCATCATGCTGCCTGGCAATGTTAAGAACTAGATCAGAACGAAAGAGAAACTGTGAAGATACCAAACGGCCAGACTCTAACTGCATCCAGCTGCAGGCACTGCAGGCTCCGCTGCTTTCCGGTGCGTCCGCCGCGCCTGCCACAACTGCTTACAGCCTCGAGCTGCGAATACCAGCGCATTGTTTTGAACAGCTTGGACACCCATGTGCCGGTCACGGCGTCGCGGCAGAAGTAGGTAACACGTTCTTCTACTGAGCCACGAAAGCTGGACATGTTACAGACCCGCAGCATGTTGGTAAATTTGCAGAAAGCAACACTTCGCAGCTTCGGAAGCAGCAAACTTGTCTCAATGCTAGGGTGGACCATGGCGTGACAAGTGTGAAACGCAGAAGCATGAGGCAATGCCGAGCAGCATCAAGTGCAACGGAAGACTTGTGTCGTGACAGCGCAGGAATCACAGACGCCGCATATGCCGAAAGGTACAGTCTATGCCTGGCTCAAAACCAGGCGGTGTTTTGCAACTCATTGCGCTTGAAGACTTGTTCCGTAGGCTTATTAGAGTCACTGGAAGCTGTCGAGCACATCTTGCGGTGGCTACTGACGTCATGCAGCAGAAATTGAGTGAAACGTCAAAGAGCGAAATGATGACTGCAACAAAATCTGCAAAGGTGACTGACTTAGTGACATCACTGCGGCCTCAGCTCAGCTAGCGGATAACTTTGCGAGGCTTGCGAACCTTCTTTGGAGAAGCTTTTGGCTGGGACTTGCCTTTGCCTGCACCCTTGACACGGGAGCCTGGAGGGCGACCACGAGGCTTGCTAAGACGCACATTCTCCAAGCTGATATCGGCTTCGCGGTGGGGAAATGTCAAGGAACGACAAAGCAAAAGGTGCTCGCAGCCGCGCCAGAGAGCGTGAGCCAAGCATGTGCAAGTCAGCTTTGTTCGCTGAACTGTAACGTACGCAATGTTGTCGAAGAGCTTCTTGCATGGACCGTACTGAAATGCCAAGCCTGACTCCGTGCGGCGAAGCACATGAGCATCCTCCAAAAAGCGCGTCACTTGGGTGGGTGCACAGACAAGAAGCTGCACGCCATACTTGGCAGTGTCCTCGGAGAGGATTGGGGCGTGACAAGACATGCGAACTGCAACAATGCATCAATATCATATATGTGATACGACGGACTGAGCTCACTATGGTTGCGAAACAGCTCCGAGTCTGTACGCCCTGCAGATGCGCGGGGTCAATATCGATGGCCTCCAAGCTCAAGGAAGCTTCGGATTCCCACTGCCCACTGAAAGTTTGCAAGCCAGTGCTCAGCGTACAAGTTTTGCTTTACTCCAAGAACTTAGCCAAGGTCACACGGCCGCCCACCGACTCCAGCTTGGACTGCCATGCACTGTGGATCGCCTCTGCTGGGTTGCTGCCACACGCTGCGCCAGGAACAATGCCGCAGCATCCAACCCACCAACCATCAAAACGGTGCTCGTGCAAGTACTCCTGTGGGTCGCTAAGCCGCTAAGCAAACTTTCTGGCTCTTCCATCGCATACGTTCGGTCAAGGTAAGCTGCCACAACGGCTTCGTCCATGTCACGCAGACGTACCACAAGGCCACGCCAGCAAGCATCGACATGCGAGGCAAGAGGCGCAGAGACGCCAGCAATGCTTGCAGCCAACCAAGATGTTTTTTTCTGGAACTTGCCGGCTACCAGCTCGGTCTGCAACAAGCGAGACTCCAGCTCTTTGTGTTTCTGTGTGAAGTGGTAGAAATCATCACAAGGTCAGCTCCGAGGGAAGCATGCTTTTCGCGCCGACTCCAAGCCTGGCGCAAAGTCCTTGTGGACTTGAACGACATGGTCGCGCAATGGCACACAATGCGTTGCATGTTTGTCCCAGACATCGCACAAAAGTCGGAGGAAGAGCAGCGTCAAACCGTGCGATTCGGAACTCACAACTGCTTGCACAAGTGGAAAAGGTCGCGACGCACATGCCTTACCTTGTTTGCGACCTTCTCCCCAGCGAGTCTTTCGCAAACCTGTTTTGGTGAGCAAGGACGCAGTTGCAACACCTCTGCCGTGTTCCAGGACTTTCATCTTGACATCTACAACCAAGCAGACCTCAGAGCCACGCCATCGCCGCATAGTCTGGAACATGCCACGGCAAGCAGAAGGCACAAAGACGTCATCGGAATCCAAACGAACCCGGTCCTCGAATGTGCACAAGTCTGCAATGGAAGCAGTGGAAGCGGAGTCGCGATTCCATTGCGACAGTTCAATGGCAAGAGATATGACACGGTTGCGGTCGATTGGTTCTGGTTTCGCAGCGTCGGCAGCAGAATTACTTTTAGCGCGTTGCAACCACTGCGACAACTGCCGCATGTCTGGCAGGTGCACTCCAGGGCAGTCTGTGCTCAATTTTTGGTGCAGATGTTTCGGAGACCTCCGACTGCAAAAAAGGCCAGAGCAGCAGCTTCTTGAGCATATGTAAAGACCTTGCCACTGCGTCCAGGTCCTTCGTGCGCATCATGCTCTGCAACAGCTGTCAACAACAGAGTGCTTGCCTTGTATCCTGCAGGCTGTCGGAAGTATGTTGCGGCTGTTGCGTTAACCTGATAGGGACACACGGCACTGCCTTCGAGACAGTGAACATGAAACGTGAACTTCGTCGCATCTTATGCCGAAAATGCTTGCAGGCAGCGTGCATGGCAAGATGTCGCGCGACATCACCTTGAGAACGAACAGGATCGGAAATTGTATCCGGAGGCAGAAGAGAATGGCTTTTTGCCTGATGACGCTTGTCTTGACTGGACTTTGCAGCTGGAGCTGACGAAGCTGGAGTTGACAACATCGGCACTGCAGGCGATTTTGCAGCTGCAACGATTTCAAGGAAAGGATCCGACACATTGGCTTCCATAAAGTCCCACTTCTTTCAATTGGCTGCAGTCGTGGGTTGCTGCTGCACTTCATTTGGCTCCACTGGGTACAGGTTCCAAGTCTCAAGGAATTCGACGCCGCACCAGCCACGCGCGGGCAGTATCGCGAAGACACGGCAAGTGATGCTTGCGCAGGGAGCAATCCAATGGGTCGCTGCGAAGGTCTCCGTGCAGCACGCCAAGGTTCAAAACGAAAGAAAGCTGCCAAAATTGCTGCAACATGTCCACAGCAGCAGAAGACCGCTACCGAATCTCACACTTCAACCACAAATCACAACGACAACAAGACTCAACTGTCACAGAACGTGTTGAACAACCGCGAGAATGCGGAGAAAAAGCACCTGCTGGTCGGTGAGATGCACGGCATCAGAACGCAACCAGGATGTCTCGCCCACATTCACGGCTAAAATGGATTGTCCTCGGAGGTAGCGTCTGTGCATGAACTGCACGCTGGCAGTGAAGGCAGCATCTGAGATGTTTAGATTCAGATCGTTCTGCAAGGGCGCAGTGTCTGCAAGAACATGCGGCCACAACTCGTCCAGAAGTGATTGGTTAACGCTGAGGTACCGAGCCAATACAGGCTCCTAGGCAATGCACTTCGAAAAGCTGAGCGGCCATTGCGGCAAACAAACACAGCAACCGTCTCGCTCAAGGATGCGACAATCGACTCCTCGGTTTCGAACACGTGAGACGCAAGATCTCGGCAGCAGGGACACGGAGTCCATAGCACGTCAACGTGAGCTCAAACAAACGCAAAAACAACGGAGCAGCAATCTGCTCAAACCATATCGGCAGGAACGGGTTCTTTGGGATCAGCATCGCTTCTTGCAAGGTATCTTTGCCGCTCTAGTTTGTTTGTGTGCGAGAACTCACCACCATGAGCAGCATCAAAAATGCGTTAAGTCCACAAACTTGCTCACATCTGTCTCGCCACCTGCGGCAAATTTGGGGGCACAGGCATCTGCCTGCCTCATCCGCACGGACAGTGAGGTATCTTCGCAATCGAAGCTTGTCGACTGCTGCGGCAGTGGTGCCACTTTGCTGATAATGGAACCGATATGCTGCCGCACCCACGCATAAATGCGAGCGCTCTTCAAGAACGGAATCCAGCAAAGCAACAAGAGGCTTGACGGCAGGTGAGTTTCCATCACCAACATTCCCCGTGCCAGAAAACCAATAGCGGCTGCGAGATTCAGGAAACTCGCCCAAGTTCACACACAGGCAACGATGGAACAGCGAATTGATCAGCCCATGAACTGTGTCAATGTAAAAGATGGCAGGCATGCCCGACGCAATCGCAGTGGCTTTAAGCAACACAGCCAACGGGAACAAGATGCTGTCGGAAAATCCAAAACGAACTTCGAGGGCTGATGCAGCGTTGATGGCTTCAAACTGCAAGATTTCGATGGCTGTGCGAAGCTGCTGTGGCAAATGCAGAAGTTGAGCGGCAGGTAGGAACAAAGGCAGAAACTTGAGAAAGGTGACGCAATCCACATGCCACATGCTTCCGCTCAGCCTATAGCGACAAAAGAGTCGCAGCGTCTGCATCAATAGAGTGGTGAGTACTTGGCGGTCCCATGGGATTATTATGTAGGTATGGTGGTTATTAAGTACATAGACATGTTATATGAAATAGACAAGTGCAAATAAGCAAGATATATAAACGTGATAAGTGTACTTATGTATCTAAGTTCGCATGAAAAGCTAAGTCTACTTAGTCTACTTAGCTCAAATATAAGTGTATCTTAATGCTATATAAACTGCAAAACGTAAGCACTTGCACAAGGCAGGGCCACGGGCTCGCCGTGCAGTGACGCAGCAAACTCACACCAAAGTCCACATGCATGCAGGCTTTTGTCGCAGCTCCATGGCCATTCACGGCGCAATCCTGACCTTGTCCTGGCCCTCCCTGCGCAAGATGCATGCCGAGCGAACACTGGAAACCTTCACAAAAAGCGGGTTTTCCGCGACCGCAAAGACATTTAATCGCAGCAAAGGATAAAAGCACAAGCACGTGCTAGCTGCAGCCTTGAAGTCGCCTGCGCTGATCTTCTTGGATGTGAAGATGCTCATGACCTCCTTTTTCTTCCAGGCATCTGCTTTGGGAAACTGCAGGGCGTCAAAAAAGTCGTGCAGCTGTGTGCTCGGAATCTTTAGAGCAGCCATTCGCTCAAGGATGCAGTTGATTTCTGCGTGAGCTACTCCATGCACCAAATAGATGTGCATCCAGTCGAACATGCAACTGGATGCTCCGAAGCATCGGGTTGCGAGAAGGCCAAACTCATTTCGTGTTCAAGCCCATGGCTTGTTCAAGTTCGCCCAGCTTGGCATTCGACAGGTGGCTGCTTTGGGCCACGAGGTGTGCTGCAGCCTTGAACAAAGCCTCGTCACTCCGCATACTGAAGCCATCAGCAAATCATCGGAGTCTCCTTCTGTCCGCTTGCTGACAACATTGGAACAAAAGGTACATGGGACTGTGCCCGATGCACCTTTCGTGTCCAGCATGTGTTTCAGTGCCGATTCGTCAGCCAGAAGAACAGCTGGCTTGCCGAAGAACATTCGACTGTCCTCGATTTCTATATAGGAACCATCGAATATCGAAACTCTTGCAAAGCAAAACACAATATTATATATACACGACCATGTATCTATTAGATATGAATGAAATGCACTCCAAGCCTGGTGTCCGGGAAAAGAAAGCAGGATGCCGCTCTCCAGATTATGCACACCACGGAAAGAATGTTGCACAAGCCTGGCTGTCACTGCTGACAGGCCCCCTTCTATTTGTTTCACCAGGTTGCTCCGGATCATGAGCAAAGGCATCCAAAGCTCCTCGTAGAAAAGATGGTCTTGGCCGTACTCAAGCCATGCCATATACCACACCTGGATTTTCCTGCTGTTATTTCCCTTCAGCTGATTGCCGGGGGAAACTTCATCATTGTAGATTGCTGCCCGCCAAGCTTCGTTGGGCGACTGGCACGGGCACTCTTGCAACCGTCGCAGAAATAACTGGGAGAAGCCAGTGACTTGTGCACATGCATGATGAAGGAAAGCAGGCAAACAAAGCACCGGCACATCGATGCCTTTGTCATTAGACTCTTTGCCAGGAACACGGGGCAGGCGCGAAGTCTCCCAGAAGGGTCCATATGGAGTGGTCTGTGTGAACACCTTGTCTCGGGCTCGCTTGATGGACTGTCGCGAGATGTTTGTCAAAGGCTGCTTGGATTCCTTCAGCTTGGTGAGAACATCAGCCAAGCCTCTCTGGCTGATGTACGACTTACGACCAAGCCTTTCCAAAGACATTGCATGCATGCACCCTGCGAGCAAAGTGCCCTGCAGTGGCGGCCTATATAGATCAATCTATATATGTTGATCATGCTGTGTGTGCGATCCAGTGCATGGGCTTAGAGGAGCCAGAGCTGGAGGATGCCGAGCTTGCTGAGGCTTCCTGCCAGTGGAGCAGCAAGGCACCTTCTCCTATACCATGGTGTGGTTTTCCGTGCCTGAAAAGTTTTGTGATGGATGACTTCCGAGGTGTGGAGGGCTTTCTCGGTCGCCTGCACAGCACAATTGCACGCGGTTCATAACAACGTGCACGGTCCATGCGAGGTTCGGCCTCCAGAGCTTTGCCCCTCAGTTCGAGGGCTCGGACGATGGCACCCCCACGGGCGCGGGCTCTCTGCCGTCCGCCGCCCGGTGGATGGAAGTTTCCATCCTCATCCATATAGCCTTTCACCTGCACGTAGCCCGGCTGGATGTTGCCCTGCCGACAGAGATTACAGACAACACTTGGGAATTGCATGGTCGCTCCAACCTCGTCCACCGGGATCACTCGGACACCGGAGGCCTGCCCATGCATGAAAAAGGCATGTTCCTCCTGCTTCTGTGCGCCCGTGTCTCTCGGCCCCTCACCTTGGCCTTCTTCGGCACCAGGCTCAGCCCAGCTCCGGGCCTTGCCTCAGGTTGCAGTCACAGAAACACAATGCCGGCGAGCCCATCGGGGCGACTTCAGCCTTTGCCTCGTGTTGCAATCACAGAGAGACAACGCCAGCGAGCCAATGAGCCCGAGATTGGGGCCGGCCCTGCTTCGGCATCGGCTTCGGCTTGGCTGGCGCATAGCCCCGGACCTGGTCCAGGAACAACGACAACAACTTCCACCAAAGTGTGGGCCACAGCTGAGCCGACTGCAGCCGCATCCTGCTGATCTGCATGCTCGCTGTCCTTGAGGGGACTACGCAAGGCAACAGACACCAAGTTGCAGCCAACAAAAGAACCGAGGAGGCCACCTCCTCCGAGTGATCCATTTCTGGCTCCTGCGACCAGGACGGGGCTCCCTGAAGGGCAAGCCACAGAAAAGACTTTGCGGCCTGCATCAGCTCCGTCTCCTCTTCTGGAAGCTCCTGCACATGAACCATGCGATATATAGGGCAAAAACAACCCTTTCCCAAAACACAACAACCCAAATCCTTTTAAAGCCTCAACCTTAAACTTAAATCCTATAAACCCCAAACGTCAATCCTAAACCCTATATATCTCAGCTCAAAACCCCAAACCCTATATACAGACTTGAAACCATTTGTTATATACTATAGATGTACCCCAAACACCCAACCGGACCCAACCCCCAAACCCAAACTATATAAACCGCAAATATGCAACCCCCAAACCCTAAACTAGATAAACCCCAAACACCCAACCCCCAGACCCTAAACTATGACCTCAACCCCTATAGACACTTAAGCCCCGCAACCCCGAACCCTGAGCAATCCTCCTCCGGCACGACTTCCTCGAAGTCTTCCTTGAAGGAACAGAACGGCAAGCAACCAAAGAACAGACTTATAAGGATAGGCCTCCGGATCCTCCTCCGGCGGCCCCGGAGACTCCGGTGGCTCCTGCAACAACAGTCGCTCGAAAAAAATCGAAGTATAATGAATAATTCACGGGGTCCTCCACGACCGGCTGGGCCCGGGTCCTTCGCACCTGAAAAAGAAAAGAAAGCAGAAAGCTGCACCACTGCAAACAAAGCATCACAGTTCACAGCCTTTGCTGGTGGCTCTCCTCGTTCGGCCTCGGAGCAAGCCGACTTCAAGGAAAGGCCCATCATGGTTCTAGGCGCCCAGCCGGCTCCTCCCAGAATCGCTGGTCCCCGCCCTCGTAGAGGTTGATCTCCTGCAGTCCTGCGAGAGACTTCAAGAAAATACTCGGGTTCAAGATGGCAACCTCAGGTTTCGGCCTCGTCAGCGAGGAGCTTCAGGTCGGAGACCACGTAGTCCTGGTTCTCGAAGCTCCAGAACTTCCATCCTGTGTCGGGGCGGGGCTGGTCAGAAACTTTAATGAAAGCTTCCCCCCTGCAACAGCAATCCTCCACGAGGCGGCTGCATTGACTTCACATCCGAAGTCAACACACCCTGGCCAAACTCGTCGCTGTCCACCACCCAGGCCCCGGTTCGCGACCAGCGAAGTCGCACTCCGTGGAAGTTCGTGAACCTGCACGAGGCTAAACAACATGCGAATCCTGCAAAGCCGCCCGGGTGATCGCGAGCCTTCCTTTCTGCTTCTTGTCCTTCGAGAAGGGCTTGGCCAGCAACAGCTTCCCGTACAGGCAGTCCTCCTGTTGAAAGGGTCTAGCTTCTACATATCTATATATCAGCATGTGCCCTCCATCACTTCATCTGGCCTTATCGGACTTGAAAGCACGAAAGCCGAAGAGCAAACGTCCGGCATTGCAAAAATCTACCTCTCTCGACCCTAAAGCCCTAAAGCATGCTTGGCTGAGTGCCTGACATAAAGTGCATGTTCATGCGTAATATATGCATGCCTCTTCTTATATGTGGCAATACACATGCCATGCCCCATGCATGCATGGGCATGCAGTCATGAGAGGCCTGCCAAGCCTTTCACCTTGCACATGCGTGTCATGCCAACAAGTTCTCAGGCTGTCTCTGTCTGTCTATCTCTCTCTCTCTCTCTCTCTCTCTCTCTCTCCCTTTCTCTCCCTCTCCCTCCCTCTATATAATTATATTTATATATATATATATATATCTATATATATCTATATATATCTCTCTCTTCCCTCTCCCTCCCTCCCTCTCCTTCTCTCTTCTTCTCCCTCCCTCTGTCTTTGTCCCAGTGGAAACTAAACTTAGAAATGCATCTTCACAGATTGTGCTGCGGTGCAAAACTTGCTCCAAGAAGGATCGCTGCCTTCCAAAACTAACTCGGAAATCTATATAAGGATCTCGGCCCTTATCCTTCTGGCCATTGGCCAAGGCAAGAAGAAGCCCTCCTCTCTTGTGCTTGGAACTCTTGCCTCTTTGCTTTCTTTGCTTTACACAAGAGGACTAAACATTGTTGTAGAACAATTGCATGTTCTTGACTGTTCCTTTAAGCCAGAGAACCTGGCTGCCAAGTTTTTGCAGCAACATCCAAAGCTGGTACTCCGGCAGGTCACCTTACGGCCTTAGGCAGAAGAAGTATGGACTTGCTTGTTGCTTGCTAAAGCTTGGCTTTCTTCTTGGAAACACCTTTCTTCTCAACATTCTGGCTTGGGTTAAAACATCATTTGCAGCCTCTTGGCAAGACTTAATTAAGTTGTTCCGTAGCTTACAGTTGAGAAAGCCACTGGAAGCACGTTTTGCTTTTGCAAGATAGTTTCTTTTCCGTTATTCTGTAAACCAAATTAGAATTCCACTTGTAGAACTTGACAACACCTTTCCGTCAACCGTTACCTTCTAGGGGAAGACCCAGCCCAGCTCGCCTTTGAACACCCGCATCTGTTCATGCAAACTAAAGGCCACAGCAACCTATTGTTGAAGCCCATAAATACGCAAGCTGATGCCTAACATGCAACACATTCTTGCTAAAGACAACACTTAAACTCCACAGCTTAATTGATGTGCATTGGAGCACGCAAGCTTGGAAGCCCTGCAACAAACAAATGCAAGCTTTTCCAAACACTCTAAAGCCGCAAAGTTGCGGTACTTATTATCACATGTTCTTATGCCCCACATAATAAGAAAAACAACCGTCAAGAAAAATGGAGGAAATCCGTAAGTGTTAAAAGTCAACACCCCGCCGGAGCACAATGCGCTGTGCAAAGCACATGGCATCCGGGCTTGTGGTAACAATCACCCCTCTCAGCACATAGAAAAACCCAAGCAACACAATCTCCGGGTTGTTGCGTTGTTTTTGCCGTTGGTTTGGGTTGGAGTGCAAAGAGACACACATCTTTGCGTTGAAGATGCAATTCGAAACATCTGTTAACATGGCTTACAAGTTTAGCACTGTACTTCTTTTCTCAACACAAGCACACTCTAAGTCTGTTATTCTTTTTGAACTAACATCTACACCATGAGCTTTCTGACCCCAAGTCCTGATTTTTATTCTGCGGGTTCCTAACATATTTCATACAAGTCAGCCAAACACTGCCCAAACTTTTTGGCGTGACTGGGCCTCGTCGACTACGGCTGTAGCACTCGGTCCCTACAAACAAGCGAAACTACAAACAAAGAAAAAACTTAACAACGCGGTGAAACAGCAAAGCGAAGCTCTACAAAGGGCGCACAGACTTTGCCACTTTGCCTGTGTTAGCCGTTCAGCAAAACTAGGAAGCCTCAGCGACCGGTCAGGAGCAACAAAGAGCCGTCGCTCTGAGCTGCCCAAAACAACGGCCAAGACCAGGCTCCGGCAGCCGTTCTCGTCTCGCCAGACAACGGACAGCCCCTGTGTTTTGTTCCGTCACGATCGTGCACTCTGCTTAGATGCTGCTCTCTTTGCCCGCGTCGGCTCTGGACCGTCTGCAGGGCCCAGAAGGCTTCTGGAGGCCCCTGCTGGCTTGGACTGACTGAAGCGGACACAACGCTAGAAAGCCGTTCTCAATGACCAAAGCGATAGACGTACACAAGGATAGATTCTTAATCGCTGTTCAACCAGTCATTGAGGACGGGTTTCTGCTGTAGTGTTTGCAAGTTTTCGCTCCCATACAACAGCGGGGACAAGCGTTGACATTCTCTGTTCCTAAGCCTTGAACAGACCATTGTCAACTTTGCCTTCAAGTCCAGTTCGGCCGAATTCTGATAAGGTGGATTTGCTGAAAACTATGGAAAAAGTCCATGAGGACCTACAGATTGGAGACACCAATGGTTGCCACCAAACAGGACCTTGCAAATGGGAATTATAGCTTGCCTTAAACCGCAAAAAGCAGATCCCAAAATCGACCACGGGCCGAACAGAATCGTTTAGTTTGATTCGCGTTAATAAATCATTTTCGTTTGCGGGTCGAACCGGAGGGAACCGGAGGGGCGAAAAGAGGGATCCGATAGAATCTTTGCTGGGTGGTTTGTCTAGGGTGTGTCCTTGTATGTCTTTGCAGTGTCCGGGAGTGGTGGCATGCAGTTGTTGTCGTGTGTTGCGAGGCAGGCTAGGCCAGGGAGTCTCTGGGGAGTGCGGAGTGCCTGGATAGTGCGGCATGTTCATACTTGCAGCTGTGTGTCTGAAGCACAGTGATTGTGGTTGTACCGGTGTGTAGACCGGGAGCAGCACGGGAGCCGCCCTGATTTTCGATCTCCCGCCCGCCCTTGCCCGATCAAAAATCTGGGCAGGGGTCACCGTTTGTCAGCGTCAGGCTGATGGGGGATACATTTCTGTCAGCGTGCGGCTGATGCGTCGTTTGTCAGCTCTTTAGCTGATGTCCCATGTTGGCTAAGCAACTGTTTTAGCCATGTGGTCAGTGTAGATTCTGGCTGTACTTACCACCACCTTCAAAAGGAGAGAGCGTCGCTTGCTGTGGTCGTGCTTGGTTTCTCGTCAGGGGGCTGCTTCTCCGGGACTGGTGTGCCTGTTGTGTTCTGGGTTCAGGGTCAGGGTTCGATAGGATCCCTACTAACGCGAATCCAACTATACGATTTTGGTCGGCCCGTGGTCGAGTTTTGGCAATTTATTTTTGAGCTAAGAAGATAAGAGAAGCTGGAAACTTTCAGGAAAGTAGAAGTCGGAGGGCGCGTTGAGAGCTGCAAAGCTGAGACTCACGTTGGTTTCTGTCTTTAGGGTTCTGGGTTCGGCTTGGAATTCCCGCTTTGGAGTTGGAGTTGGCTCCACTTTGGAATTCGGGGTTGGCGTGGAGACGGTCCTTCACAAAAGCTTGAAATTTCATCGTTGCTGGCATCTTCTTCTTGATGTGGTCGCACCTGTTTGAACCCTTCTGCAACGCTTTCTCGCTGGCAAGCCGATCCGGGTACCCGACCCGGCAAGCGGGGTCAGACCCCTAACAGTTGCAGACCATCTCGGGCTTTGGAGAATCGTTGAATCACACTCAATCACATTTGCAAACTTACTACGTTTAAAGTCGGGCCAAATAGGTTGCGTTTCGCTCACATGGAAGTCGCTGCTGGCGCCCGCAGATCGGTTTCGTAAAAAAAAAAAAGATTGGGACCCAAAATGTGTTCCGAAAAATGGAGTGCTACAGCCGCAGTCGACGAGGCCCAGTCACGCCAAAAATGTCGGTTTGGTCGTTCTCAATCGGCTTTCAAGCGTTGTGTCCGCTTCGAGTGAGTCCAAACCAGTAGGGGCCTCCAGAAACCTTCTAGGCCCTGCAGAGGGCAGAGAGCAGCATCTAAGCAAACCTTCAGCTTGAGGGGCAGGAAAAATATGATGCTATGGATCTGTTGTCTTGTTGCCGTCTGCAGCGACTTGAGCAGCTGGATCCAACCTTGTGTTTATTTTCCAAGACTGTGGCTAAGCACACTGTGGCCGCTGTAACCAGCTTTTCTAACGCTTCAACTTTACGTTTCTGTTGTCTGACAACGTGGCTCCAAAAGAGAGGATCTTGCGTTGTTTTGGACGTGTTGCTTCTTGCGCTTATAAGTGGCTTCAATCAAATTGGTATTTCCTTTGCGTATGTCGCTTGCACAAGATGCGCAAAGGCTCAGCGCAGAGTGGGTCCCTTCCGGACCCAATTTTGGAACCCCAGAACGGGGCCCGAAACAAAGCCGTGTCTCTTGATTCCAGATGTGGCCATCATCTCATCCGTATCACTTGACATACTGGTGCCCAATCGGATCACCCGGCCGCATATTGGAGAACCGCTGGGTGCGAAGATCCCAG